GTTTACTGTCAGGACACAAGGTTTGTGGCCTGTCAGAGCTACATCCCCTCCCTCCCTGTGTGTCTATGGCGAATTACCCGTCACTCCCTGACTTTATGTACCTATGTTTCCACATTTCGAAATTGGTAAATCTCTGTTGCTGATGTATAACTAGCTAGAACATGCCTGTAACCCATGAAGTTTGCTGTTGGAGTTGTGCACGCCCTGACTTTGTATACTAGTAACTATATTTTCTTATTTTGAAAATTTGTAACTCTTTGTTGCCAAAATGTAAACAGCCCTAACATGGAGTTGTGTACTCCCTGTCTTTGTATACCTATCTGAAATGAATAAAAATATTAAAAATGTTTTTAAATAAAAAAATGCTAATGTAATTCCTGGCTTGTCTATCACTAAGCATCGTGAAGTGAGGACGTGAATAAATATATAGAACGATTTTTTATGGATAACAACTTCTTTATTTGGTCAGTGCGACGTTTCGATACAGATTCTTGTACCGTTGTCAAGCAGGAGTTGCATGACAACGGTACAAGAATCTGCATTCAGGTGAAATAGTACAACCCATGAAGGATACGGGTACAATCAGATAGTTGTGATGTCACAAGATTACAAGCCACAACAATTCAATAGGTTAATCCTGACAAGTATGACAGCATGTGCCCCGAGGCGTGATCCCCTGAACTGAGCTGAACTTTGCAACAGGTCAGGAGCAGTGACTTCAGAGGCACAGTTCAAGTGATGATAAGGCAGTTTTAAGTGATTATCATGCAGATCAAGTGATGATAATACAGTTTTAAGTGATTATCATGCAGATCAAGTGATGATCATGCAGATCAAGTGATGATCATATTGTTGAAGCTATGACAGTGTATTAACATATTTTCATGCAGACGGATCTATTACTGAAGTCATCGGAGCATTTATGTATATTCTCGAATTATTATTTCCTGTTTTGAAAATTATCTTGTTTATTTTCCATTGTCAGATTTTTTTTCCTAATGCTGCCATTTTTGTTCTATTAAAAAAATAAACTCATTTTATTTATGTTGAAGTTTAAAGTATTATTGAGTGTGGTTTTCCTCTCCTTCAAATGACGGACAAGTGACTGTCCTCCACCTGCTTGTTTCAACCTGTTAATTGTGATTGGATGTTTCTGCTCAAGTCAAGTTCTCGAAACGGTATTAGCTATGTTAATTAAATCGTTTCAAAATTTCAAAAAAGTCATTTTGTACAGTTCACAATATGAAACTATTTGAACTGTTTGAAAAAGATTTATCTCCTGTAGATGAATATCACGGAGTTTAACTTTATCTATAGTTTTAGATAGACACTTTGGAATACCCACCAGTAAGTGTACACATGTGGCTGTCTGTTTCCTAATTGTTTCATTCACCTGATGATGGAGTACATGTAAGAATACACCCCGAAACTGACTGACTGAGTATGGCTTTACGCTTCACAAATTGTACCAATGTAAAGAATCGAACCCAGGCATCCGGCGTGACAAGCGAACGCTTTAACCACTAGACTACCCCACCACCCCGTTTCTCCAGTAAAGAAGCTGACATCCATAAATGATCGCCTTTACGTGTATCACATCTGAATGCCTTTCAAAGAATCCACAAGGACGTTCGTCAAATATTTGTTTCAGGCATGTTGTCTATTTATGTTAGCCTGTTCCCATTATAATATCATTGAAAAAGTAACCAAAACTTAATGACAAATAACTTAGTTGTTTTCAAAAGTATTCAAAAAGATAGCACTTGAATTGTGACTACCTTAGAGAGATGAGAACCGCCCCATACATTATACAATTAGTAACTCTCTCTCCCCAGTGACCTAAAGAGCTTCAGAAAGCTAAGACAAATAGGGTCTGTGAAGGAAAGATTTTCGTTTGCCCAAGTCTAGCTTCTGGAATTGGTTTAGCCATGAGGTCACCAAGGGCCAGATGACATCCCCTGGGATAAACGGTCCTCTGCCAAACAATATAATATACTATCCAAAGAAAGAAACGTATAGGCCAGAAATCTGTTGCGAAAATGTTGTATTTTCAAACATGCATAACTCGTCCACAAATAATCTTTAGTGCATGAGTTTTTACACCAGTTTAGAAAAAGGTAATGTCTATACAACCAAGTGGATAATTTTAGATAACGGAGACGATGAGTGCGATGGTGACGATATAGTGCGGTCCCGACGTCGGGTCTCCTGGCTCTCAGACAAATCTGTTCAGATTTTAAGTGTGAAATATTTTGTAAATCCTTCACATGTCACCCAAACAGTACTGCAGATAATGATACAAAGTTTAACATAGCTGCAACATTTTCTGTTCGTTCATAACATTCATTGATTATCTCAACACCTTTATAGAGTCACCCATGAGGAATGTTTCATCGTCGTTAGTGAGTCAGTGAGTGAAATTGGTTTTATGCCGAGTTTAGCAATATTCCAGGATTTTCACGGAGGGGGACACCAGAAATGGGCTACACGCATTGTCGGGAGTCGAACCTGGGCCTTCGGTGTGACGAGCGGACGTTTCAACCACTAGGCCACCCCAGCGCCCTTCATCGTCGTTAAGAAGCATGCAAACAAAAGAGGCGATGCGCTTTCTCCTTGGCTTACACATGATTTCCATGGGAAGATTTTTGTGATATTTCCATTACAAGAGATGCATGATTTGATATACTGATAAATAATAAAAACAACTTGAAAAAATCCCAGATATATTATATTGTAATATATTTTGCAAAAGACCTGAACACCAAACTTTATCGAAAGCTTTTCGGAAATCTACAGATGCAAAACTAATTTCTATTCCCTTACTTTCAATATTTCTGATAAGCTACATAAGGGACAAGTATAGGGACATCATGTTGATGTTCCCCTCGTTGAGACATACCCAATTGTGTTCTGTTGTCATGTTTGGTGTTTGTTTGATGGACCGGAGAATCGATCTAACATCAATCTAAGCATTTGGGAGACGATCGACCAAGTCATTGAGCCTCACCTCCAACATCATGTATTGGTTGTTCAGTACAGATCAGAGAATCCATCTAACATCAATCTAAGCAGTTGGGAGACGATCGACCAAGTCATTGAGCCTCACCTCCAACAGCATGTATTGGTTGTTCAGTACAGATCAGAGAATCCATCTAACATCAATCTAAGCAGTTGGGAGACGATCGACCAAGTCATTGAGCCTAACCTCCAACAGCATGTATTGGTTGTTCAGTACAGATCAGAGAATCCGTCTAACATCAATCTAAGCTGTTGGGAGACGATAGACCAAGTCATTGAGCCTCACCTCCAACAGCATGTATTGGTTGTTCAGTACAGATCAGAGAATCCGTCTAACATCAATCTAAGCTAACATCAATCTCCAAAGCAATTGGTTGGAGACGATCGATCCAAGTCATTGAGCCTAACCTCCAACAGCATGTATTGGTTGTTCAGTACAGATCAGAGAATCCGTCTAACATCAATCTAAGCAATTGGGAGACGATCGACCAAGTCATTGAGCCTAACCTCCAACAGCATGTATTGGTTGTTCAGTACAGATCAGAGAATCCATCTAACATCAATCTAAGCAGTTGGGAGACGATCGACCAAGTCATTGAGCCTAACCTCCAACAGCATGTATTGGTTGTTCAGTACAAACTTTAACCCGGCTGTTCACGTGGAGACTCAATTGTGAAATGTCTCTATCATTTAGCTGGAATGTCGCTGTGTGAAACTTTAAACAACATTCACTCATTCACTACTGATGAGTAATTTGGAGATAGATTTGCACCATCTATATTTGCCTTATAAGATAATACTGTTTAGATTGATTGATTGATTGTTGTTTACAGCCGCACTCAGCAATATTCCAGCTATATGACGGAGGTCTGTAAATGATCGAGTCTGGACCAAACAATCCAGTGATCAACAACATGAGCATCGATCATCGACGATGAGATATGTCAACCAAGTCAGCGAGCCTGACCACCCGATGCCGTTAGTCGCGTCTTACGACAAGCATGGGTTACTGAAGACCAATTCTAACCCGGATCTTCACGGGTATAGACAGGCATGGGTTACTGAAGACCAGTTTTAACCCTGATCTTCACGGGTATGTATTTAGACAACGTGTGTAAGCTACGGACTCATATGTACAATTCCTTTGACATCAGTCCTCCGTTGTTGATGTTGTCGACCAAAGAAATATATTGACCAGTGCAAGAATCCACAAACAGTATAGATGCACTGTCCTGATGCTGTAGTCGCTGGTAAATCAGTATCTATATATATATATATATATATATATATATATATATATATATATATATATATATATATATATATATATATGGTACGATATACAAAGTAGACACTGTAGAATACAATTGTAGGTTCCCCAAAGTCACAGGGTCTGTGTACCTGGTCTACACCATAGTTGCTGCAGGGGTCGGGATTTGATGGGATATCTTCTTAAGAGGGTATCTGTGTATTATTAAATGATATTTTTAGAAAAACGCATCAGTCCATATAAATATTTGCAGTAAAATATAATTCTGTGAAAGACATTTAAAAATCATTGAGGGAATGAAAGATATGTTTATAGAAGTTCTGTGTTTCTTTAGAAATAACTTAATATGTGTATCCTCGTGTTCAAACAATGCCTCCACCTACCTGTAGAACACACAAAACATTTGTATGCAGAAACAAGACATCAAGATGGGCATGCCATAAAACATTCTACCACCCCAGGCCATGTTAGGGAAAGAAAGGGCAGCTGTGTTACCCCAACGTATAAGTAATTTCTGACATGTGAGTTAGATAACAATGATTGACAGGTTCATGTATCAATTGTCCATCAATTGATCACCTATCGAAGGACAACGGTTCCTTGATGAAGCACGGCGACCATATCCTTACAGTTCACCAACATCAATCAGCCCCGTCATGGCTGTATAAGTTGGGTGATGTACACGTCCACGGGTTGAGTGACAAGTAACAGTCGGCTTCGTCACGTGACAGGTGGAAGGAAAGCTGTGTCCGGAGTGTTATACAGCTCACGAGGAACTGACGGACACTGTTTGGACTGGACACCATTGTGGACACGAGGACAATGGTCGGAATCGTTGTATGGGGTAGGTCAATTCAGCTTGATAGAACATCTGGAATATCAGGAATATCAGTTTATACCCAAAGTCTCATTCGCCATCTTTTTTAATGCCCAGGCAGTGTATGCCTGTCATGGAGAACTACATCGTAGAAGTGTCAAGCAGCAATTATTAGACATGAACTTTGTTATGAATAATTAAACAAAACGCAAACCTGGACAGCTTAGAAAATTAACTCTATCGTGTTAAAAGGTATTTCTATTTCACCTGATACTAAACAGTAGTTATTCACTTTAGTAGGTTCTTCCGATTTTTTGGTTTTCTGTTTTTAACGGTGAAATTCACGCTTATTCAATTTGTCATGTTTTCTGGTGATGCCATTAAAGTGACATATCACAGATTCGGAATGTGGTGGTGTTTCCGGCTATTTGTTAATGTCATTGTGAACGTCTCGTCAACTTGATGTGACGTTAAATTTGTCGTATGGCTTAATGTCCCACCATCCATTATAAAACATGTCATCTCTTACTGTGACTATAACGAAGTCCAGCACTGTCTCATACCGCGTCTCCAGGAACCATAGACACACTGGGAACTGATTGGGTCGTTTTGGATGTCTTCATATCCGGTTTTGACCGTTTCGTACAATATTTTGATTTAAATTGAACGATGTAGTCCAGTGGTTTGTCAGGTTTGGGTTTTTGATTCCCACATGAAGAATGTGTTAAGTTCATTTCACGGTGATTTGCTTTGTTACTGTTGGAACATTGCTGGAAGGGAAGCAAAACAACACTCACTCACGTAATTCAATCCACAACAGAGAGGGCCCAATTGTCCAGAATCCCATTATTCTAGACTCGTATTGCTGAAACCGACCACGAGTTATAAGTGGTACATACATGGACGAGGTTTTGCTGTAATCGGGGTAATAGTCTCCCTTTATAATGTTTGATGTTAGTTTTCTTTATGTCATGGTGAATTCTATACTGACGCCATATTGTAGCTGACCGCCTCCGTGGTGTAGTGGTTAGAGTGTCCGCCCGGAGAGCGGAAGGTCGCGGGTTCGATCCCCGACCGCGTCATACCAAAAGACGTTAAAATATGGTACTTGTTGGTCCCTGCCTGGCGCTCGGCATTTATGGGTACAACGAGGACTGGTCGGCTAGTACAAGCAGCCGCACATACACATACGCATGCACGTCGTCATATGAGCGAAATATTCTCAAGCACGACGTTAAACCCAACTTTCACCTCACCTCACCTCACCTCACCATACTGCAGCTACATTACGGCTGTTTGTAAACAATTGAGTTTGGGCCAGACAACCCGTTGATTGAAACCATGAGCATTAACTCAGTCAGGATAGACCGACATGCATTACTCCATCAGATATCAGCCTCTTACAACCAGTATTGGTTCTGGTGGCCAATACCAAACGGGATCTTCAGAAAGGTGGTTTAATGCATGCCACCGACATAACGAACTTAGAAAACTACAACATGCAAGACGCCATGTTCAGTGTGGTGCTACCTGACGCAAAGCGGCAAAACACGAAACAACAGATAAAGTGCGAGTTCGTTAGTGAATATGGTTTTACACCGCTTTTAGCGATATTCCAGCAATGTCACGACGGGGGACACCAGCAATGGGCTTCACACATTGAATCCATGTGGGGAATCGATCCCGGGTCTTCAGCGTGACAAGCGGACGCTTTAACCATTACGCTATCCCCTCCGCCCCAAACTATAAATAACGATACAAAGATAGTACAGTTGAGAAATGACAAACTTAGAGCAAGACATTGCAGAATTATAAACGTACAAATACATGAGAGTACGTCACATGAGAGTACGTCACTGCTGTAGCCGAGGTAATAATGAGTGCTCGACAGCCCTGTTTTTACTGGCGTGAAGCTATAACCTGCAGAATGAAGGAAAGTGTTATATATCTGGCACGATGTCTGGCAGGAGGCGGACAGTATTCCACTCATTAACGCACTGGCCCAAGTCATAGCCCGTTATGCTCTGTTCGTGCTCTGCTGTATTCTGCTTGTAATAAATACACGGGAGAGCCTGGAAATTCGTAACTCTGGAGGACATAATCTGACTATTTCAGGTTTTAACCATGATAAACAAATATAACAATAAATAAGACACTTTGTGAAGGTCTTATGCAGTACATGATACTCCAGGCATGTATATGACCTTGGTCAGAGTTTCACGTTGGACGGTACAGAGTTTTACATGATATTCGCTGTCAGCTGCGCCAGGACAGCTAGATTGTTGATAGTTGTATTGTACGTCAACAACACATCTGTTTGTACTACATGTATGTAAACACAGCAACATAAGACATTGTTTATGCTCAGTGTAGGTGTATAAACAACAATATGGAGCAGTATTTAAGACAATTATACAATGTTTAAAGAACAGAATAGAAACGTTTTTACTAAAGTTGTACAACGCATTAAGAATAGTGCCTATTATTGCTGAACAAAGTATAAAGAAAAGCATAGGATCATGTGATTTATTGTTGAACAATGTACGAAGAAAAGAATAGGACAGTGCTTATTATTGTTAAACAATGTGTAAGAAGCGGAACAGGACAGTTTTATTGTTGAGCAAATTATACAGAACAGCATAGGATCGTGTGTTTTAGCGTTGTGTTTTATTGTTGAACAATGTGTGGAGAAATATACAAAACAGTGATTATTATTGTTGAACAATGTGTAAGGAAGGGAACATGAAAGTGTTTTATTGTTGTTGAACAATGTGTAAGGAAGGGAACAGGACAGTGTTATATTGTTGAACAATGTGTAAGGAAGGGAACAGGACAGTGTTATATTGTTGAACAATGTATAAAGAACAGCATAGGATCGTGTGGTTTATTGTTGAAAAATGTATGAATAAAGGAATAGGACGGTGTTTATTATTGTTGAACAATATGTAAAGAACGGAACAGGACAGTGTTTTAACATAATGTTATATTTGGGATAACTTCTTGGGTTGTGTCCCATCCGGGATTCGAACCCACACCCTCACATCCGGATGGGACTCAAAAGTATTGTAAACAGAATAATATAAGATCGGGTGTGTTATTGTTGAACAATGTATAAGGAATAGCATAGGACACTGTCTATGTTTTCTGTGTATAGAACGGTATTCCTCTCTGTAACCGCATAGGACAGTGTTTATTATAATAGTAGAAATGCACATGGGGCAGTGTTTACAGTATGGGGCAGTGTTTACAGTATGGGGCAGTGTTTACAGAAGATGGGGCAGTGTTTACAGTATGGGGCAGTGTTTACAGTATGGGGCAGTGTTTACAGTATGGGGCAGTGTTTACAGTATGGGGCAGTGTTTACAGTATGACGAGTATGCAGTGTTTACAGTATGGGGCAGTGTTTACAGTACAGTATACAGTATGGCAGTGTTTACAGTATGAGGCAGTGTTTACAGTATGGGGCAGTGTTTACAGTATGGGGCAGTGTTTACAGTATGGGGCAGTGTTTACAGTATGGGGCAGTGTTTACAGTATGGGGCAGTGTTTACTTCTGTCGCAGAAAGTGTAAATACCAGCACAGGAAAGTGTTGCTGAAAGTATATATTTACCACAAGTGTCGGTCGTTATGGATGCAAGTCCCTGAGCGCTATTATTGTTTATTATTACCCATACGGGTGAGGAGATCCCGTGTAATATCTTTTTGATATTTGCACAGTGTGCAATTTAGTGATTCTCGACGCTGATTGGTTGATCGTATATTTGTACAGTTTCATTGGATGCCGGAACTACTTTCACACACTACGTTCATTCATAAAGTTTCATTGATTCATTGATAAATTGACATTATGTAATGTAATCACACATTCCGAGATCTAAAAAAGAAAACATTAAGGTTAAAGAATATGAATATTCTTTTATTAGACGTTATTAATTTGGAATAAAACTGCGTTATAAATAGTAGTCTTTTTAAATTATATACTCTTTAAAAAAACCAAACAATCGTTTGCATTGTTTGTAAACAAACATGGCCGCCGTTAGGCTAACCCCGATCACGGTCACTTACCTAGTTCAAGTTGACGGTGACCAAATAGGAAGAGTGATAAGAATTTTACAGCCATTGAATTCCCAAAACCTGTTTGTTGTTGAAACTGAATTCGGGGAAATAGAAACAGCAAGATACCGACTAAAGATGTTATCTGAAAGTGTAACAAGTAAATCGGACACGGCGTCCATGCCATCGAACCAGAAAACAGCTCCTTTCTTACCGGAATCAGTGCTAAATGTTTTTTTTCAAGATGACTTTTTATATCCTTGCATTCCTAATCAATCCGAGAGGTTGGTCCCAGTAGCCGATGCAGAGATTGACACATTTCATAGACTCGGATTCCGACTAGAGTTACCCTTCTTGGAACTGCTGTACTCTACTAAGACGAGAGTGTAACACGCCTTCCACAGAACAAATTGTTGTTTAATCTTCAAACTTGTTGAGTTTCTTGACAGAAAACTTTTTCTAGATGTATTCGTGGGATGGTTGTCTTTTAGATTTCCCACATTTTAACCGTTGACTTTCCCAAAAATTGACAGGTTTGACAGTGTGTTTCAACACTACACCGTCACCCGTCACTAGAAAACACGTCAGTCGTGAATGAACGATGTTCCGTCGCACTGACTTGGTCGAATAAATGTTTAGCTGTTATTAAGTTCAGTGATATATTTAAAAGATCATTTTTATCAAATTAACAAATGTTAATTAATTATTCCAGGCATAATAATTTTGTTGTATTTTAAAGCGAGTTTATGATGTACTATTTCCATAGCGTAGTTATGTTATTACCGCTGGAGAAGTTAGGTTTAATACGCGCATGAATCAGCTGTTTAAGGTCACAAGTCCTGTCTCCGGGTGATTTTTATTTCGTGGTTCTTCCTTTTAAATTACATTATGGGTAATAAATAGAATAACCAACGAGGTACGAGTGATTGCAGGAAATATGCCCTCGTTAAAATAATGTTCAGTGCCTCGCCAAGGCTCGGCACTGTGAACATTATTTCAACTCGGGCATATTTCCCGTAATCACTCGTCCCTCGTTGGTTATTCTCTAAGTATAGACCTACAACGTACAAACCATCACCACATGACCTTGCTTATTATATACCTACAACGTGTAAACCATCACCATATGACCTTGCTTATTACAGACCTACAACGTATAAACGATCACCACGGGACCTTGTTTATATTAGACCTACAACGTACAAACCATCACCATGGGACCTTGTGAAATATAGTCGTGCATTGTTTTGTAATAGTTTGGGGCAAAAGATTTCGACAAGAATTGAAGTAGACATCCTCATTGGCCCCAATTATGTTTCCCTCCTTGCGGATCTGATTCTTTATGTACATGAATCAGAATTTCTGCTTCGGATAGCGAAATCAAAACAAATTAATTTGGCCAAGAAGTTTACCTTAAGCTTCGAGTATATCGATGATCTAATACCGTTCAATAACCACGAAATAGCCAATCCCCTTCCACTGATGTATAATAATATAATAATAATGAGAATATTTATAACGCGCCTTATCCAGGCTAGATATCCTGCTCAAAGCACACAGTCCGTCATTATTACCCCGGATAACCCAAGCTGCCTGTGAGGCGCTAGAAGATTAATAGTTTCATGACTTATTTCACCGGTTACCCATTTTCTGCTGGGTGAACAGAGGCAGTTTTGAACAAAAAACTCACTTGTTAAGATGCGACCACATGTATCACACGTGCTTCGTTGTGGTGCAGGACTGACGTCGTAGAAACTATCAGGAGTCAAGCTGTCAAACGCCCATCCAAAGACTCTCCGCGCCCATCGATGCTGAAATTAAAATTATGGAGACCAGTGAGACCACCCTGAACTGTTTCATATATACATCTATGCATAAAGATTCAGAGTTAAAAAATGAAACATGCAACTTTATGGATGACAACTTCCTATTTAATACAAAGAGCTAAACTTTAGCCGGATAACGATGTGAGAATCTACATCGAAACGTCGCTCTAGTTGTCATCCATAAAGTTGTATGTTTCAGTTTTGAGAAACAAACTTCTATAATGCCGATCAAACAAGATTCAGTGACAACACACATCCCCCCCTCCCCCCTCCCCCCCCAGCAGTCAACTGTCCTATCAACAATATTCCAACAGCTCCTGCCTTCAGTGTTTACAGATCACAACTTGTGAGGTACAGTCGAGCGTGTTCTTTTCTCCACATTTTCAAAGAATGTCACACCACTCTTGCTCAATAGTTGTTTCAAGGAACTTACAAAACATTTTATGGTAGACAGTATAGCAGACATGTGGATGCCATTTCCAAATTTGATGCATCAGTGAAAAATGTCCGATGCAGTTCCTTATTGTGACTCGTACCATACCTGAACAATTGACTTTGCATGTGTTTATGACGGGTGCCACGGTAGGTCAGGATACGCTCACCTTTAAGCGAACACCAGGTATCATGACTATTTCATAATGATTCATAAACACATGCTCTGTCATTGTATCGCATAGTGACAATCACTGGATTGTCTTTATCAAGACTCGAGACCCGTGAAGATCCGGATAGAATAGGCCTTCAGCAACCCATTCTTGTCACAAAAGGCGACTATGCTTGTCGTAAAAGGCGACTAACGGGATCGGGTGGTCAGGCCCGCTGACTTGGTTGACACATGTTATCGGTTCCCAATTGCGCAGATTGATGCTCATGCTGTTGATCACTGGATTGTCTGGTCCAGACTCGATTATGTACATACCACCGCCATATAGCTGGAATATTGCTGAGTATGGCGTTAAACTAAACTCATTCACTCACTCTTTATCCAGACTCGATTTTTTACAAAGAATACCGTACAGATGTAATACTGCTGAAACAAAGAAAGAATCATGATGTGGTCAGAATAGTCTGTATGACAGTCCCTGAACCATATTAGTTTCCCTACAGTCTACTGCAGTGCTAAAGTCCTAAATGAAGCTAGTCTAGACTTCCCCAGGTTCTGAATCTCTGGGCTCCTTTGGGCTCCTTTTCACTTTGAATGGGTTATTTGTAACAATCCAAATTATATATTCAGAGACTAAGCGTTAGTCTATAGTCAGAATTGTACAGTCGACTATACTTTTAGCAGATGTTATTATGGGTGTGGAAAGGGTTTTGTCGCTTCTAGTTATTACATGAAGCCCATTCCTGGTGTCCCCTCAGTGATATTGCTGGAATATTGCTAAAATCGGCGTAAAACCATACTCACTCACTCACTCTATTTATTATAGCCCTGCATTGTATAAACAGTCATCACGTAACCTTGTGTGTTATAGTCCTACAGCGTAAACCTCATTACCATGGGACCTTGTTTAGAATAGACCTTGTGTGTTATAGTCCTACAGCGTAAACCTCATTACCATGGGACCTTGTTTAGAATAGACCTTGTCTGTTATAGTCCTACAGCGTAAACCTCATTACCATGGGACCTTGTTTAGAATAGACCTTGTGTGTTATAGTCCTACAGCGTAAACCTCATTACCATGGGACCTTGTTTAGAATAGACCTTGTGTGTTATAGTCCTACAGCGTAAACCTCATTACCCTGGGACCTTGTTTAGAATAGACCTTGTCTGTTATAGTCCTACCTTGTGTTATAGTCCTACAGCGCAAAACCTCATTACCCTGGGACCTTGTTTAGAATAGACCTTGTGTGTTATAGTCCTACAGCGCTGGGACCTTGTTTAGAATAACAGCCTCATTACCATGGGACCTTGTTTAGAATAGACCTTGTGTGTTATAGTCCTACAGCGTAAACCTCATTACCCTTGGGACCTTGTTTAGAATAGACCTTGTCTTTGTGTGTTATAGTCCTACAGCGTAAACCTCATTACCATGGGACCTTGTTTAGAATAGACCTTGTAGAATGTTATAGTCCATTACCCTGGGACGTAGAAAGTCCTCATTACCCTGGGACCTTGTTTAGAATAGATAGCGTAAACCTCCTGGGACCTTCTTTAGAATAGGACCTACAGCGTAAACCTCATTACCATGGGACCTTGTTTAGAATAGACCTTGTGTGTTATAGTCCTACAGCGTAAACCTCATTACCATGGGACCTTGTTTAGAATAGACCTTGTCTGTTATAGTCCTACAGCGTAAACCTCATTACCATGGGACCTTGTTTAGAATAGACCTTGTGTTTTTCAACATAGATGTTCTGAATAAAAGAACATAACGTTTTCTAGAAACATCTTAATTCATAACCTGAGCTTCCTTAAAGTTAGATGGGTTTACTTTTATGAACTGACCAGTATCTAGACTGCCAATCAAGGAGTGTGGATGTTCTGAGAGAGGATTCTTCTGTTGGTTGTGGTATGAACACCTCCATGTGTTGTGTGCAGGCTTAAATACATTATTCATGATTCCCTTTTGTGTTTTTCAGCACTGGTGTCGACATGCTTGACGGGTAAATATGAAACATCTTGCCTTTTAATGACTGTCTCGTACATGATGAACAGTGCCGTATCACTTTGAACATCGACTGATTCTTTTCTTGCGCAATGGCGAAGATTTAGCGCAACTAAATTTGCAGCACAAAAGAAAGCATACTTTCACAATTTTAGAGTTGGTTAAAAAAGGCTTATGTTTAAGCGACTTTGATGAATCTATTTACGGGTCTTATTATGTTGTACACCTTACATTTTGAGTCTTTTAGAGACAGCTTTCATCCTAGTACCGTTCTGATAACGTATATAATCTTTTAGCCCAATTCAGTTTTAAAGTGTATACACTTTTGACAAACTGATTTTATAGATTACCATTTCAACTTTTACTGTATTACATATTAATCAATGTTCTTTTGTTTCAAACAGTCGCTAGAAAATCACGCAATATGTTTAGGAATTGCAGATTGCATAGCCTTTACTGATAACTATTTGAGTAAAGATGGCGTACGTGAACATCATATCAAAACAACATGTCCTTTTAATGTTTTTCTATTTGTTGAGAATTATATGACCAGACCAGGAAATATTAATTTCAATACATGCTTGCACACGCTAACAATCCCCACAAACCTGCATGACCTGGCTGACCTCAGCTCTCCAGTACTCAACTTTATACCTTTATGTTGAGCAATTTTCCAGTCGCTTCAAACTTGTCTATATTTCAATACTTTTGACGTGTAATCGGAGATGCATTTTCTTGGACGATTTCAAAGTAATACGACTCTTGCTCAAAACATTCAAAACTTCAGTAAATCTTTCAAATGTCTCGGTAGATATGTGAAGGACGTACTCAGATTTGACGCATCAGAGACAAAACAATTTCAAGCATACCTCTTCTAAAAGGTGCATCCACTATACACTTCCGACGATACTACTCAATATTTGGTGGAGATAGTTTTGCATATCAACCGCTCATCCAACAGAAACAGCTGTATGTGGATGCATCGTGACAGACTTGTTGGACGTCATTACCACAGAGAATCAATTCAGTATATTGTATTCGCGGCCTTAGCCCCATATACAAATACTGACTGACTGACTGACTGAGTTTGGTTTTACGCCGCTTTTAGCAATATTCCAGCAACATCACGGCGGGGGACACCAGAAATGGGCTTCACACATTGTACCCATGTGGGGCCATACACAAATAAACATAATGTCATACATATATACATTGGTAATGGAAGTTTAACTTTTTTGGCATTTATAGTTTACATTTTGTCTTTTATTTTTTTTCTTATCTAATAGAAATGGTGTGTTTACAAAATTTGCATACGTTCCACGCATTCGTTCCCCACGCAGTTTTCGTTATTACTATCAGACATAAGTATACCAAACATTACAAAAATACAATTTTTAATGTATTTCTGTGGAATTCATCTTCTTTTACATTTAAGTTGCAAAATTTACAAATCATATCCTCTTTAGGTATATTATTTATTGCGAGTGGATGATGTGCATGCATCAATGTTACAAATGTCCCTCTCTTGTCATTTATAAATGTTTTCAAGCTCTTCAACATCTGAGAAAGCACACATAGATTGCACCTCAAAGTGAAATTCTTACACCCAAGTCTGGACATTTTGAATGATGCCCTGCATAAAGGTAAAACTTGGAAAGTTGAAAATATCCCTGCTGTCATGCGGTCTTGACTGTTGACTGAACACCGTGAGATGATCAGTCTTTATTCACGTGTTGTCTCTGTTGTAGGGATGGTGGACGCCCAAGGAGGATGTGAGTATAGTCCTTGCCAGGTGACCATGGCGTCTCAGGATGTTCACAGTGAACATTGACAGTGACATTTGTAGTTTACTATCTTACTCCAAAATTATTCTCAAATGACAAGAGTATATCTTAATATTTCTGAGATATCAGATTACCCCTATCAAAAGTAAAGTTGTATATTTCATAATGAAACTTTACAGATATGCAGCCAGGAAGTGAAGGCAGCTGATGACACAAACTCATATTCTGCAAATTCTAAATGTTTACCTTATGATGATAGATTGAACTTCCTACCATCTACATACAGAGGCTACATAGCGTTCTTCATTACTTACACATTAGTCTATGTCAGATGTTAGAATAGCTGTTTTTCTGTTAACCCAGGGACTTCCCAAGGGCTTAATTTATCAACTGAGCCCTTGGGAGGGACCTGGTCCCGTAGCCCCATTGTGTATGCTACTCAGCATGTTCTATTTCAACTTCATGAGTCATCTTTGGAAATATATACTGTTACCTTTCAAAAATTGTTAAAATTCGTTAAACGCTCCAAATTCCTGATACAGTGCGATTTCAAATCCAAATGTTGTCATAAACAGTCAGTATATTTGGTAGACTGTCAGTTTTACCTGAAGTCATGGCGATCGTACTATAGAAATGTCCCAAAAAAATGAACAATGAAGAAAACAGAAAATGTTCTGTCTTGTGAAACTACGAGGCCTGCTATTAATGTGTAAATATAGCCGAAATCTCGTCTCTGACGTGAACAGGATCACCAACGAGAACAAGGACGCACGGTACTCGTGTGATATAAGTATACAGCTGGGCTGAAATATGTTCCTGCTCGGATCCACAGACATGGGAAGCTTTGTGACACACTGTTTAATGTCCACAGCAATCTACAGGAGTAACATCCTACAACACGAATATTCTAGATTCATAACGTATTCATCCTTGTGATTTAAGATGCGGCTTACCTATATATAAGACGGGCGTGTTGACACGCAAACTTCTATTTTGGTATAAATGTTTGTGCTCTGTACATTAATACTGAGTACAGAAAGACTTGAAATACACAATGACTACCAATTGTCCGACTTCCATTTTTGTGGAAGCCGCGGTGGCTGAGCGGTCTAGGCGTCTGACTTTGTGTGCTGGCGATTAGGCGCCTGACTCTGAGGGTGTGGGTTCGAATCCCGGATGGGACTCAACCCCAAAAAGTACTGAAGTACTAGAATCTGTACTTTACTGAGAAAGTGTAATCCCAAATATAACATTTGTCACACAGAAAGACATGTCTAAATGTACAACATGTGTCGTTATTTTGGTTTGTACGCTGTTAGTAGAAGGTTTTCATTCTTGACCCAATGTACACAAAGAAAACATTTCTGAAAAGCAAACACAAAACATAATTCCTGGCTGTCGCTGTATCAATCTACTCACCCTTCCATCCATCCATCTCTGCATAACACATCCATCTCTTCATCCATCCATCCATCCATCCTATCATATCTGCATCAATCTATCGATCCATACACACACACGCACACAAACAGACATGCATACACACACACACGCACACGCACGCACGCACGCACACACGCAAATTACATACATACATACATACATACACATACATACATACATACATACATATACATACATACACATACATACACACATACATACATACATACATACATACATACATACATACATACATACATACATACATACATACATACATACATACATACATACATACATACATACATACACATACATACATACATACATACATACATACATACATACATGATCATTACATTACCGAGATTAGTTTAGGCTATATCAGACCCGACCCATGCTTGTCGTAAGAGGCGACTTACGGGATTGGGTGGTCAGGCTCGCTGACTTGGTTGACACATGTCATCGGTTGCCAATTGTGCAGATCGATGCTCATGTTGTTGATCACTGGATTGTCTGGTTGAGACTCAATTATTTACAGACCGCCGCCACATAGCTGGAATATTGCTGAGTGCGGCGTAAAACTAAACAATGTCACTTTAGTCTATAACATAGATGGCCCTCTTTTAATCCATTTCAGATGATAGTGTTAGTCGATATCGTAAGTGTAAACTACTTTGTGTTAGATCTGCAGTAGTTTGTGTCGGCGTTGTGTAAGAACGATCTCGTGACATGTAGAAGAAATCCCTTCACTGTTCGCCTCCTAGCCCAGGTCACTAATATAGGGTATTTTATGTAGCTAGTTGTCCGTGGCAACTTACTGTACTGATGTGATGCATAGCCGTAATCTATGGAATTGCTTAGTTGATAAACTCCCAATGTTTACACTTTCAGGTTAACTTTTAGCGTGAAGGGTTTTCTCTGCTTAATAGTCTTGCCTGGTTCTGTGTGTAGACTTTCACATGCTCGGTTTCGTGAATTTGTCTGGAAGCGTGTTTGTCTGTTAGTGTGTTAGTGGGCGTCATGAACATTTTGCCATGAGTGTTCATCGCGTTCATATGTATGCAATCGCGCGTCATGTTCATTACATGCTTTTGCGTTCATAAACGTTCGTTCTTTTTATGTTCGTGAATGCGTTCATTATCATGCTTGTGATCGCGTTCATAAACGTGTTTGTGATCGCGTTCTTTTTATGTTCGTGAATGCGTTCATTATCATGCTTGTGATCGCGTTCATAAACGTGTTTGTGATCGCGTTCTGTTTATGTTCGTGAATGCGTTGGTATTTGTGTTCATAAACAGTTTTGATCGCTCCCGCTCATTTCTCTTGTGATCGCGGAACAGTTTCTACCCGCGCTCTGTTTATGTTCGAATGGTTATTAACTCGCCAACGTGGTTGTGTTGGATTTGTGTTCGTCAGTTTGATCTCCCCGCTCTTTCTCCAGGGAACATACCCACGCTCCGGGTAACGAACACATGAGTAAAGACAGAGCCCAGTTGTAGCTCGCCCGTGTACAGTAGATAGAACCAGCACTGTCTCGCAATGCAACCGGTCACCTGGCTCAAATCTACAACGTGTTATCAATCAAAATAATGACTATATTTACAGTTATTTCGGGTCAGAATCACCAGCTTGAACGCCTGCATTGCATCAGTGCTGGGATCCCTTATTACAAATATGCATGACTGTACATCCATGCTTTCCCTGAATACAGATGTTATAAAACAGAGCAATTACACACTGCCTGCAGAAGCAAGCATGTACATGAACAGTGTATTTGACTATCAAATAGTTATTGTTAACAAAGTATCACTTAGCTGGAAAAAAATGTCCAAAACATAACTATGACACCGTGTCAAATATATCTTCATCGAATATATTTTTCTTGTTTTGTTTCTTTTAGCGACCTTGGGTGTATTGTGTGTTTTTTCTCGTAGTAAATATCAGATGAAAGAAGCTAATATTTTGGTGTTCTAAAGTGACCACTTTAATGATTAACCAAGTTTCGTTCTACTGTATCTGGGGAAGAGTTATTAGAGCAACTTATCCATGTGTGTAGTAGATCCTGTGCTATAATCTAATGTGCATGTTAGATACAAGACAAATATCATTTATATTTTGCATGCAATGTCATACCGCGTGTCACGTGATACAACTAATATATTTTATAATTTTGCAACAAAACAACTTATTTGATGTTCCCGAAATTCCCCAGAACTGTAACCTTAACCTTGATTAATGTCCTTACCACTACAACCAAGGTCACTGCATGCGTCCCAACCCCATGACCTTCAGTAAACTGTGTGACCTTGACCTTTCTCAACAACTGTCAAACTATCTGGTTTTACGTGTCATATAAGTATAGCATGAGTGGCTACGATGTGAGGTACTTGTCCTAATACCCCCGTGGACTTTGAGGGGCCACATTAGGCCCCACTAACGCCTGGTGGCCATTGCACGAGAATTGGTGGCACTGGTTGTCAACCACAGTGACGTGTTTGGTCCTGTGCCTTTGTACCAGACAGCGTGGATGGCGGTTGACATTATCAGTCACCGGATTGTCTCGTCCACACTCGACTATTGACTGTCGTCATGTCGCTGCAATATTGCTCAGAGTGGCGGTGAACAACCATGTCACCTAAAACAACATCGACTGTCATTGTGTTAAAGACATTTCCTTTCATTAGAACCAAGCTATGGGTATTCGAGTGCAATGTAAAGTGATCGTGTGTTTTGTGAGTATAGTATGCGTTGGTACGAGGTATGGTTCTTTTCCCATGATCCCGTGGGGCTCCAGGGGCAGTATTGGTCCCAAGTCCTGCTGTCCATACCTCGAGCGTGGATGGCTTATGATATTATGAGTCACGTGATTATCTGGTCCATACTCGACTGTTGAAACAGCAACTTCACTTAAACCACCCGCGGGACTTCAGGAGCAGAATGCCCCCCTCCTTCCATAGCTCGAGAATTAGTGCTTGAATGGCTTACGATACTATCAATCACGGGCTTGTCTGGTCTATACTGGACTGTTGAACTACAACCTCACTTAAACCGTAAATACGTAACATTCATTGCTCTTTACTGTAGAACGAAGCTATAGTGCAATGTCAAAGATGGCCATTTGGTGACCCCCACCTGACTGTTACTGATATACAATCATTTGACATGATTAATCCATCCCACTTACGTACAATGCAAGTATATGCATATAAAACTACTAAACCGTTTACCTTCGTAGCATGAGAGTATATATAACTTGACCTAGACCCATGTCTGTGTAGTTAGTGTATTAACACCCTACTACCAAGTGTAAGTATGTAAATGTAAGTGAGCTATCACTATCGATGAGGAATCAGTTAATCAGACATTTTCCTTATCTGATGACCACGGGCCTGTAAGTAGTCCGCATACAGCCATACTTGACTCTAATTTGTAATGAGTGCGAATGTTTTCAGTCATATATACTTCAACATTGAAATCTGGCCACGACGTTGTAACAATAGGTGTCGAAACATTTATTTCCAGTAATTAATGTTTTATTTAATGAATGTTCGAATATATATATTTGTGTCACGAACTCTAACATGAATTTGCGTCTGATCCAGTGCCGTCTCAGTCCATGCAGCACCAGTGGCCCCAAGGTAAGTCTACCGGCAGTGTCTCCACCTGCCATGATGTACACAGTCAGTCTACCGGCAGTGTCTCCACCTGCCATGATGTACACACTCTGTCTGTCAACTGTGGGGAGGTGGGTAGTCTACCGGCAGTGTCTCCACCTGCCATGATGTACACACTCTGTCTGTCAACTGTGGGGAGGTGGGGTAGTCTACCGGCAGTGTCTCCACCTGCCATGATGTACACACTCTGTCTGTCAACTGTGGGGCGGTGGGTAGTCTACCGGCAGTGTCTACACCTGCCATGATGTACACTCTGTCTGTCAACTGTGGGGAGGTGGGGTAGTCTACCGGCAGTGTCTCCACCTGCCATGATGTACACACTCTGTCTGTCAACTGTGGGGAGGTGGGGTAGTCTACCGGCAGTGTCTCCACCTGCCATGATGTACACACTCTGTCTGTCAACTGTGGGGAGGTGGGTAGTCTACCGGCAGTGTCTACACCTGCCATGATGTACACACTCTGTCTGTCAACTGTGGGGAGGTGGGGTAGTCTACCGGCAGTGTCTACACCTGCCATGATGTACACACCTCTGTCTGTCAACTGTGGGGAGGTGGGGTAGTCTACCGGCAGTGTCTCCACCTGCCATGATGTACACACTCTGTCTGTCAACTGTGGGGAGGTGGGTAGTCTACCGGCAGTGTCTCCACCTGCCATGATGTACACACTCTGTCTGTCAACTGTAGGGAGGTGGGTAGTCTACCGGCAGTGTCTCCACCTGCCATGATGTACACAGTAGTCTACCGGCAGTGTCTACACCTGCCATGATGTACACACTCTGTCTGTCAACTGTGGGAGGTGGGTAGTCTACCGGCAGTGTCTACACCTGCCATGATGTACACACCTGTCCGTCAACTGTGGGGAGGTGGGTAGTCTACCGGCAGTGTCTACACCTGCCATGATGTACACGCTCTGTCTGTCAACTGTGGGGCGGTGGGGTAGTCTACCGGCAGTGTCTACACCCGCCATGATGTACACACTCTGTCTGTCAACTGTGGGGAGGTGGGGGTAGTCTACCGGCAGTGTCTACACCTGCCATGATGTACACTCTGTCTGTCAACTGTGGGGAGGTGGGGGTAGTCTACCGGCAGTGTCTCCACCTGCCATGATGTACACACTCTGTCTGTCAACTGTGGGGAGGTGGGGTAGTCTACCGGCAGTGTCTACACCTGCCATGATGTACACACTCTGTCCGTCAACTGTGGGGAGGTGGGTAGTCTACCGGCAGTGTCTCCACCTGCCATGATGTACACACTCTGTCTGTCAACTGTGGGGAGGTGGGGTAGTCTACCGGCAGTGTCTCCACCTGCCATGATGTACACACTCTGTCTGTCAACTGTGGGGAGGTGGGTAGTCTACCGGCAGTGTCTCCACCTGCCATGATGTACACACTCTGTCTGTCAACTGTAGGGAGGTGGGTAGTCTACCGGCAGTGTCTACACCCGCCATGATGTACACACTCTGTCTGTCAACTGTAGGGAGGTGGGTAGTCTACCGGCAGTGTCTACACCTGCCATGATGTACACACTCTGTCTGTCAACTGTGGGGCGGTGGGTAGTCTACCGGCAGTGTCTACACCTGCCATGATGTACACACTCTGTCTGTCAACTGTGGGGCGGTGGGTAGTCTACCGGCAGTGTCTCCACCTGCCATGATGTACACACTCTGTCTGTCAACTGTAGGGAGGTGGGTAGTCTACCGGCAGTGTCTCCACCTGCCATGATGTACACACTCTGTCTGTCAACTGTGGGGCGGTGGGTAGTCTACCGGCAGTGTCTCCACCTGCCATGATGTACACACTCTGTCTGTCAACTGTAGGGCGGTGGGTAGTCTACCGGCAGTGTCTCCACCTGCCATGATGTACACACTCTGTCTGTCAACTGTAGGGAGGTGGGTAGTCTAGCGGTTAAAGCGTTCGCTCGTCACGCCAAAGACCCCGAGATCGGTTCCTCACAAGGGTACAATGTGTGAAGCCCATTTCTGGTGTCCCCCGCCGTGATATTGCTGGAATATTGCTAAAAGCCGCGTAAAACCATATTCACTCACTCAATAACTATTGAAGACAGAACCCTGTATGAAACAGACATCAGCTCTAAATAAAGGTTCTCAATGAGTGTTAATCTGCCGTGTAGCATCCTATGTGAGCCACATAGAGAGCGGATGCTTTGCCGCAAATGTTCTCGCACTCTCAGTTAGGTAGAGGCGTGTTCCCATACAACAGACGTAACACTATAGTCATTTTGTGCACACGGCCGTAGTAACGTCACTTCTAGCGCGAAAGCGTACAACGGGTATTACGAATTCGGCTGTCAGAGTTCGTTATATCCGTGGATTAGTCAATTATTACCAGTGCCTTCTGAATACAGCTGACATGATTCTTATTATATTGTATTTACATCTTAACAATGTAATATTTATTCTGTGTATTGTGTTTCATGCATGTTCATGAACGATATAATACTAGCTATTTTGATGTTATATTTCTACATACTGTATAGACTGTAGTTACCTAGTTACTAATGTGATGCTATAGTAGTTACCTATTGTGATGGGGCCGGTGGGGTAGCCTAGTGGTTAAAGCGTTCGCTCGTCACGCCGAAGACCCGGGTTCGATTCCCCACATGGGTACAATGTGTGAAGCCCATTTCTGGTGTCCCCCGCCGTGATATTGCTGGAATATTGCTAAACAGCGGCGTAAAACCATACTCACTCACTCACTCACCTATTGTGATGCTCTATGTAGTTAATACATTAGACTAGACTAACGTGCGTGACCACCCTCACTGTCTCCTCACATAGACGCATGTCAACTAGCTACGTCTACCCCTCACTGTCTCCTCACATAGATGCATGTCAACTAGCTACGTCTAGTTCGATCATCACCCACAGTTTCAACTCATATTTTGCTGGTATTGTATAGTTATTTGTAACAATTCTTATAACTAAGGGGCGGTGGGGTAGCCTATTGGTTTAAGTGTTCGCTCGTCACACCGAAGACCCGGGTTCGATCCCCCGCATGGGTACAAAGTGTTAATATTGCTAAAAGCGGCGCAAAAGTAAACCCACGCCCTCATTAAAAATAGGGTGGGAGAGGAAGAGATAGGAAGAGAGACAAAGATGCAGAGATAGGACAAGAATAGAGTCTGGAAGGGTTGGAGGAGGGGGGAGCGAAACGATAGAGAGAAAGAGAAAGAAAGAGAGTAAATACTTCGTTAAATACTCGGAAAAACTCTCGCCAGATTACCAGGGTAACACATTATTCCCCTAGTCCTCTCTAAATCGAATTACATTTGACAGACAGCAATGTTCATTTCGGCGTGAACTCAACCGTCAATCAAACTTTTATATGAACTTGTAAACTGTGAGTGATGACCGTGCGTTAGATTTCTTAGTCTAGTTTTAATAATATTTGCATGTTGTTATAGATGCACTTGTATAACTTTCACTTCTAACCTTTAAGCAGCACCTGTTGGAGGTGAAGGTCACACTGCCTCACCCCCGGGGCAGCCATCCTATGGAGCCCCACCCCCAGATCTCCCAGACAGCTTAGGTAATCAATACAGCCTTCCACCGTGATGCACCGTACCCATATTCTGACTGAAGTATAATTATGTCATGGAAATAACTCAATGTCATACATAACGTCAACGATACGTTCTATGGTAGAAAGGACGTCGTGGTAGCATAGTGGTTAAAGCGTTCGCTCGTCACGCTGAATACCCGGGTTCGATACCACACATGGGTACAATGTGCGAAGCCTAGTTCTGGTGTCCCCTGCCGTGATATTGCTGGAATATTGCGAAAAGCGGCCTAAAACTAAACCCGCTCACTTGGAAAGAAATCAGAACGTTATGGATGCAGATTTTGATCCGAGGAAGGTTTATTTTGTTATTACGACTGAAATGGGAGCAGTAGTGGAGAGTTTTAAGGCAGGATATAAGTTTTTGTCCTACGTTTGAAATATTTCAGGCGGTCAGCCACCTAACAATCCACAAAACCAAGGTGGTTGGCAAAGTGAGCAGAGCCGGGCGTGGCCGAAATACCCTAATAGTCCCAACCCTGGTGGCTGGGATCCACCATCCACTTCCACAGGAGGTGGTTCCAGGACGGGGTGGCAGCCACCCGCAGATGCTCCTAGCCAGGGTGGGGGGAGGTGGCAGTCACCCCATCACCACCAGAGCCCGCCATGGCAACCACCACCAAATAGTCCAAACCAAGTGTGGCAACCACCTCCTGACGGCCCTCCTCCAGGCTGGCAGCCATCACCCGATAAACCCCCGCAACCATGGCAACCGCAGCCAGATGCATCAAGCCAGCAACTGCCTTCTGGTAAATCCCCACAACCATGGCAACCACCGCCTGATGGTGCACCTCCGGGCTGGCAACCGCCTCCTGATAAGCCACCTCAACCATGGCAACCACCGCCTGATGGTGCGCCTCCTGGCTGGCAACCGCCTCCTGATAAGCCACCTCAACCATGGCAACCACCGCCTGATGGTGCGCCTCCTGGCTGGCAACCGCCTCCTGATAAGCCACCTCAACCATGGCAACCACCGCCTGATGGTGCGCCTTCTGGCTGGCAACCGCCTCCTGATAAACCACCTCAACCATGGCAACCACCGCCTGATGGTCCACCTCCTGGATGGCAGCCACCGCCAGATCAAAATCTGCAACCATGGCAACCACCGCCTGATGGTGCGCCTTCTGGCTGGCAACCGCCTCCTGATAAGCCACCGCAACCATGGCAACCACCGCCTGATGGTCCACCTCCTGGATGGCAACCACCGCCTGATGGTCCACCTCCGGGATGGCAACCAGGGCCAGATCAACCCCCGCATCCATGGCAATCGCCGCAAGATGGTCCACCACCAGGCTGGCACCCACCGCCAGATGGCGCAATATCTGGCTGGCAACCACCGCCTGACAAACCCCCACCCGGATGGGAGCCATCCCCGAATAGCCAGTCCGCGGGAGGTTGGTTGTGATCGTTCATCATTCAGTGTCTCTTTACCTCAAAGTACAGTAATTACCTTTGTTTACCAGCGTTAGCTTGTGATACTAATCATAGCATTCTAGTTCTGCATGTTTTCACAACTCATCACAACTTCCCCGAGCTGCATAGTTAGCAACATACTAATATAAATCCTATTGACTAATTACTTTGCACTAATTGTCGTGAAGAATGCTGACCTAGATCTGTTCATATGGTGTACACTTGTACTATCCCAAGAACAGTTTTGCTTATTGTATCAATTCTATTTTATCAGCCAACCAGCAACCGTCTCCCTACCAACAACCAGGTAAGTGACGACATATGTCATTGTATTACTGTCACAAAAGCATGTACATTTTATTTCAAATATGACGTCACAATTTAATTCTGGAAACCCAAAAGTCCAGAAACTATCCGCACTGTGGCCAGTTTCTGACAAAGGATTTGCTAAACTTCAACTGGCAGTTATCATGACTAAATGCTGAGGATTAAAAAATGAAAAATAAAACCTCAAAATTTTAACTAACTCACTGAAGGGACGGCCCATGGGCCAGAATGTTTACTTTTAATGTTGCATCACATGTGTATGTGATAAAAAAATTGTAAGTTTTGGTGCGGTGGGGTAGCCTTGGGGTTAAAGCGTTCGCTCGCCACACCGAAGACCATTTCTGTTGTTCACCGCCGTGATATTGCTGGAATATTTCTTAAAGCCGCGCTAAACCTTATTCACTCACAATTGTATATTCAACCTACATACAACATGGGTGAGTAAAATGCCTTACCCTCATCCTACAATTGATAATACAGATGTGATCATGTCTCTGATTAGTATCGACATGCATATTATGTTATCTTGCCTGACACATAAATGTCGTTTTCTGATTGGCTGAGCGCTCTTCTATTAATTTCAATGTACCCCGCTTACAAGCGAGTAACATTTTCTATGTACCCCGCTGGGAATGCCAAACTCATTTGGTACTTCGTAGTAGTAATTCTTTATCTCGAATAAGATTGAATCACGTATGATGTACGGAAATTACCGATGTTTTGCGAATGTATATCGATGGAAGGGAGATAACTCTAAATTTGTTTTTCTTGTCGCCTGGTACTCCATACTATGATCCGATACCCCTGCTTCAAACAGTTCAAAATTACCATTGATGTGTTCGGTAAGATAAATACGTTGTTCACTGGTCACGAGGGGGCCATGGGTTGACATAAACAAACATCGAGGGAACATCAGCCCGTGATCCCCGAAGGGCGAGGGGAACATAAGAAACATCGAGGGTACATCAACCCATTGCCTCCTCGTGACCAGTGAACAACTTATAATTTGTTCTCGGGACTTAAGATGGCAGTCTAAGTTTACGTTCCGGATACTTCCGGGAACACCAACCCATATAACCGGTGGATTATGAATTTATCTCATTGCATACCTAATTATACGTCTTATACATGTATCCTATAGGCCAACATTGAACAAATACCTCATTTTGTCCACTCCAACGAAGAGACAGACAATAGATGCAACATAGCTATTCCCCCGAGATCTATTTCTTCGGAAAATATCCGGAGAATTGCAATAGTTATGTCTCAAATGTAATGCCAATAAGTAACATAAGCCATGACACTTCCACGGCCTGGGCCAGTAGGAGCCCGACAGTAAGATCAGACAACTGCCAATGTAACCTATATGTCGTCTGTACATAGGTCAGAAAGGTCCCAGCAATAAGTTTGTTCTTAAAGAAGGAATTCGTAACTCATGCAGTCATTTCCTGAATAAGACAAGGGAACTAGATTTGCAGAGTTACGTCCCATTAGACTGACAAGGATCCTGTTATTGGGGCTTGTAATCACCGTGCTCGTATGCTTCGTCCGAGATACACATTGTGCCTTCTTCTCACCACACGGTGAGATATAAGTGGAATATATCCCAAAGCGGTGTTCACCTCAATTGCGTACTATTGTTTCAGTATTCAGAATGTTACTTCCGGTTGTTCAGCGACAAACTGTAGAACATGTAATGTTGTTTAAAGAAAGAAGCAGGTAAAACAGCAACGACAAAACTGAATAGGGTGACTAGTGTTTGTAAGCATTCATGTTACTATTTTGTAAAAATAACACAGAAAAGTATAAAGGTAGAAAAGTTGATGGTAGTAGTTTTTCAGATATTAACTCGACTCCATCATGTTAGAGTTTGGAGATTATATTAACCTGGAAACAATTAATTCATTTGCATATAGATGCAGTTCTTGTTTCTAAAACTTGTTCATGTTGTGCACACACATACATCCCACAGTTTCAGGGTGGTGGGATGGCCCAGTGGCTAAATCGTACACTTGTTGTGCCATAGACCCGAGTTTGATTTCCCAGATGGGTGCAACGTGTGAAGCCCATTTCAGGTGTCCTCCGCCATGATATTGTTGCAATATCGCTTAAACCGGCGTAAAACTAAACTCACTCACAGTTTCATGCTAAAAATCAACTTTTCATCCTATTCTTTGAATTTGACTTTGTGTTCAGCTTTTCCGTATTCTCAGTGGCAGCAAGGTATGTGATTGCATGCAGAGACGCTGTACAGTTGTAGCGCACTAACGCCGTAGTAGTGTTGCAGTGTAGTTGCAGTAGTGTCGCAGTAGTGCCGCGGTAGTGTTGCAGTAGCGTCGCATTAGGGCCGCAGTAACGCCGTAGTAATGTCGGAGTGTAGTTGCAGTAGTGGCGCATTAGGGCCGCAGTAACGCCGTAGTAATGTCGCAGTGTAGTTGCAGTAGTGGCGCATTAGGGCTGCAGTAACGCCGTAGTAATGTCGCAGTGTAGTTGCAGTAGTTACGCATTAGGGCCGCAGTAACGCCGTAGTAATGTCGCAGTGTAGTTGCAGTAGTGGCGCATTAGGGCTGCAGTAACGCCGTAGTAATGTCGCAGTGTAGTTGCAATAGTGGCGCATTAGGGCCGCGGTAACGCCGTAGTAATGTCGGAGTGTAGTTGCAGTAGTGGCGCATTAGGGCTGCAGTAACGCCGTAGTAATGTCGCAGTGTAGTTGCAGTAGTTACGCATTAGGGCTGCAGTAACGCCGCAGTAATGTCGCAGTGTAGTTGCAGTAGTGGCGCATTAGGCCGCAGTAACGCCGCAGTAATGTCGCAGTCAGTAAGTTGCAGTAGTTACGCATTAGTGCCGCAGTAACGTCGTAGTAATGTCGCAGTGAAGTCGCAGTAGTGGCGCATTAGGGCCGCAGTAACGCCATAGTAATGTCACATTAGTGTAGTGGTGTCGTAGTACTGTCGCATTAGGGGCGCAGTAACGCCGTAGTAATGTCGCAGTGTAAGCTGCAGTAGTGGCGCATTAGGCCGCAGTAACGCCTTAGTAATGTCGCAGATGTAGTTGCAGTAGTGGCGCATTACTGGACGTCGTGTTGCGGCAGTATTGTTTACAGAGCGCCGCCAGTAGCGGAATATTGTAGTGTTGCAGTAGTGCCCTCAGTAATGTCACTGTAATTTCAGTAGAATCGTGTCGCAGTAGTATCACAGTGGTCCGCACTACTGGCATATTAGCGCCACAGTGATGACGTAGTACTGTCACAGTAGTGCCACAGTGATGTCGTAATACTAGTGCCATATGACGTGAGTCCACGGTGACGTCGTTGTACTGTCACATTAGTGCCACAGTGGCGTCAGCGATAACTGTCACATTAGTCCCAGTGACGTCGTGACGTCATTGGTACAGTGACGTCGTAGTACTGTCACATTTCAACAGTGATGTCGTAGTACTGTCACATTAGTGCCACAGTGACGTCGTAGAACTGTCGGGCGGTGGGTAGCCTTAGTGGTCAAAGCGTTGGCTACGTCACGCCGAAGACCCGGTTCTGATTCCCCACATGGGCACAATACTGTCATATTAGCCCATTTCTGGTGTCCCCGTACTGTGATATTGCTAAAAGCGGCGTAAAACTAAACTCAGTGCCACAGTGAGTCGTAGAACTGTCACATTAGTGCCACAGTGACGTCATAATACTGTCACATTAGTGCCACAGTGACGTCGTAGAACTGTCACATTAGTGCCAAAGTGACGTCGTGCCATAGATACCTGTCACATTAGTTCCACAGTGTACTGTGACGTAATGCCACAGTGGTCGTACTGTCACATTAGTGCCACAGTGGCGTCGTAGGACTGTCACATTAGTGCCACAGTGACGTCGTCAGTAACTGTAGTCACATTAGTGCCACGTCGTGACTGTCACATTAATGTTACAGTGGCGTAGTATGTACTGTCACATTGTGCCACAGTGACGTCGTAGTACTGTCACATTAGTGCCACAGTGACGTCATAATACTGTCACATTAGTGCCACGGTGACGTCGTAGTACTGTCACATTAGTGCCACAGTGACGTCATAGTACTGTCACATCAGTGCCACAGTGGCGTCGTAGTAGTGTCACATTAGTGCCACAGTGGTGTCGTAGTACTGTCACATTAGTGCCACTATGATGTCGTAGTACTGTCACATTAGTGCCACAGTGGCGTCGTAGAACTGTCACATTAGTGCCACAGTGACGTCGTAGTACTGTCACATTAGTGCCACTATGATGTCGTAGTACTGTCACATTAGTGCCACTATGATGTCATAGTACTGTCACATTAGTGCCACAGTGACGTCGTGGCGTCATGTACTGTCACATTAGTGCCACAGTGACGTCGTAGTAGTCAGAACTGTCACATTAGTGCCACTATGATGTCAGAGTACTGTCACATTAGTGCCACAGTGACGTCGGAGTACTGTCACATTAGTGCCACAGTGGCGTCGTAGTACTGTCACATTAGTGCCACAGTGGCGTCGTAGTACTGTCACATTAGTGCCACAGTGGTGTCGTAGTACTGTCACATTAGTGCCACAGTGACGTCGTAGTACTGTCACATTAATGCCACAGTGACGTCGTAGCGTCATTAGTGCCACACTGTCACATTAGTGCCACAGTGGCGTCGTAGTACTGTCACATTAGTGCCACAGTGGCGTCGTAGTACTGTCACATTAATGCCACAGTGGTGTCGTAGTACTGTCACATTAGTGCCACTATGATGTCGTAGTACTGTCACATTTGTGCCACTATGATGTCGTAGTACTGTCGCATTAGTGCCACTATGATGTCGTTGTATAGTCACATTAGTGCCACTAATGATAGCTTCGCCGTAGTGCCAGTAGTTCTTAGAAGTGTCACTGTATTGGAACAATTGCTCAAAATGTGCAGTAAGACAAATACCTGGACTCGCATTAGGTAGCGGACTGCCACGTGTAAACATGCCACGTGCAAACAGACATGCTCATACTGTTCATTCGCCATGGCTGCAAGGTATGTTCAACAGTCTACTGGCGTGTCTGGATGTATGCATATAGAGTAGCATGTCAGTCATGGTGTGGTCAGGCATATACCAAGTTCTGTCTGTTCCAGTAGAGCGAACGTCAAACACGTATAGTGCACACTGTCACAGAGTGTCAATATACCTGAACCGGCCACAGTTACAACACATTTACTTCATCAAGTTAAATAGAGGATAATATATGAGTGTCCATGTCATACTATGTTTACGACACGAGCCCCAAATGTTGGTATTTCCCGAGCGAGAGCGAGGGATATCGCGATATTTAGGCACTCGTGTCGCAAACATAGTATGCTATTGGCACGAATTGAGGAAAATAAACCCAAATCTATTTTCATACATAGGCTGGCTACCCGCCGTTGCCGTATGTAGAACGCGACGTCACAGAAGAAACGTGACGCCATAGCATTGTCCATGACGTCACGTCACCATGACAAAGTGATGTTTTGCCCTAGGGCATCGTATGAAAAATATGAACCCCGATATTTTCGCCCTCGTAGGTAATAATGCTGGATACTTCCTTGATACTGTGACAACAACATAACACTGCGCTGCATTATTGTATCATTTGTTATAATGTAGCATTATTGTATCATTTGTTATAATGTAGCATTATTGCATGAAGCCTGCGCGAAACGGCCTTTGACCATAATAATATATATACGCATATCCATTTATTATTAGATATACAAATAATCCACCGGCAGAGTTTTCAAATCTGTATTGATATCTGAAAATAACAAGAGGTGTACGCCAATACAATCCCAATAGAGTGTCATTTTGTTATACCGTAATAGCATCGTCCATCTTCACGTACATGTGACCTACTTCAAACCATCACCTGCTCCTGAATGAACCGCCCGAGTGTGCACATTGATTGCCATGTTTACGTATTATAACATATTTATTATAATACTTATTCAATTAAATTGTATTGGATGCAAAGTGTGATAAAGCAAAGCAACTTGGGTATTACACAGTTACAGAGTATATTGCTTCAGACAGGTAGGAACACGCTGTCATTGACCAGGGCATACAGGCCATTAAACACTGCTGTTATATATGGAGGTATATAGACGCCGATACTGGCCATGAATAATTCCTTGTAGGAGTACGTCAATCGGTATATATGGAAACTATGTTCTTACTGCATAGGGTAAGGGCTACAGGGTGGTATAGCTGCCTGGTATAGGTTTGGTAAATAGTGAGTGTATACAATACTATAGCGGTAGGTATGTATGAAGTATACCATGTATAGTGATGTGTATATCAGCACAACACTGCAGCTATACCTAGTATATGCAGTCTCTTCAGTCATTGGTAGCTTGGGAATATGTCAACCCGGATTCCACCAATGATTCAGCGACATGTTTTAATAGGTCTATATAACTCTGGATTTATCAATACATTGAACGCATAATAACTGTATATAAACATATACATGCATGCGCATTTGTCTGTTATTTTCAAAATATCTACGCTTGAGTATTAGCACGAAATATATTCAAGCTAATTATATCCATTCCCTAACAATTGTGCTCGATGATGAAATCTTTGCTAATAATTATGTTCAATGGCCTTAAATGTAAGTAACTGTAAGCTAGACGTGCGTGTAAATAATAAACGATGTAAAAAGAAATTAATAAAATAATAAAAGTTTAAAAAACGAAGCATATTTTGTAACGGTTTACGTAGCTAAAAATGTACTCTAAATAATCTCTGACCTCTGACCTTTGACCAGTCATACCGGGAGGGATTGACCCATCGTCAATGCCGGATCCAGCTGACCCGCCCGATGGTAACCTTGTGACCTTGACATAATATATCACGTAACCTTGAACTTGGACAGATCACATACGCAGTGGCTATTATATCTAATGCCACTTAGCTTTGTGATGCTTGTACAAAACATACAATATACCTGACTACTAAAACATGTTTGTAAGTGCAAATGTATGTCATGTCATTACCTAGTGACCTAATTGTCGACGAGACAAAGAATAGCTACAACATCGCCGACTGATTATGTGTACTGTTGTGTAAACGGGTGAATGTTCTTGTTATATTAAGCTTAATAATACGAGCTTGCCTATGTATCGGCATGTCGTCATTGTCGACACTGTTTCCATTAGATACCTGGTTCATTTGGTAATAGAAGGACTGGAGTAGCCTCGTGGTTAAAGCGTTCGCTCGTCACGCTGAACACCCGGGTTCGATTCCCCACGTGGGTACAATGTGTGAAGCCCATTTCTGATGTCCCCCGCCGTGATATTGCTGGAATATTGCTAACAGCGGCGAAAAACTAAACACACTCACTCATCTGGTAGTAAATTCATCTTGCAAAGATGTGTGATAATTAATCCTTCAAGGATGTGTAATATGTCAAGCATAATGGATTTTGTCTTCTTCACCCTCCTCAGTTCCTGCAGCCGCGCAGCCGTGGGGACAACAGAGTAAGTCCGCCAATTTCTCCAAAGATCATTTTAACTTTCATATACATCATTTATTTAACTTATCATAGCAGCATGCTTAACTGATGTAGGCGTTCATTGCTTCACCCAATCTCCCTTGTACTCGTCATATACTTGTTTACCTTTAGCGTCATCTATTCCTCACACGCATGTACTCATCATTCAGTGTCGCTGTGTACCATGTAGGTAAGACTAATACCTAATTAACGAGTGATACGGCGTGTCTATATCTCCAAAAGAGACACCAAGCGAGGTTCCAGAAACAGTCACCCTTCCCCACCTTGGCTGATACGTTTATTTACTTGACTGCCCGACTGGTTAAGAATTGCAAAGTTTCTGCAAATATGTTCTGCGTGAACATGCCCTACCAAGAAAATATATAGTCACACTCGGAGTTGACAAGGTTTAATTATGTATTGTGCGTTTTAGCGACTGGAAACAGCAAATGATAGGTTGATGAAGGTTTGTGGAACAACTAGAGTTTTAATGTCATGTGTGAAAGGTCATATCCTGGGAACATGGGTTATTATTTCAGACGGACCGGCATGGCAACAAGGCTCGCCTACAGCAGACCCTGCAGATACTCCTGGTCAGTTCACGCATTCTGGGTGCAGCAGGGCATTTCTTATACTACTCAAACCATTCTGAGGATAATTCTGCCTTCTCTCCACATGAACCTGATTCAGTGTAACATTAAATTCCAATTATGCATATGAATCGACATCATTGAACCGAAAAAGAATGTCGTGTGTCTCCTTCATGATGTCATTCCCGAAATATTAACTGTGATCCCTAGCAATGGTTGAGTAGTATAATCAAGCTATGGGAAATGGGTAATGCAGTTTGTGGAGACACTATAAAGCTGGTGTGGAACAAGATATTGCTTCTGTAATCAAACGTTGATATATACAGTATAAAAGACTTGATTGAAGGTAGCCCGTTGGTTGACGCTGACTTTGGCTCATCAACAGCTCCAGCGGCTCCCCAAGGATCCTGCGCCTCCAATGTCACTCCCGGCTCCACATACCACGTCGTCACGCGACAGCGTGCGAACCTTGCCAATGACCCACATAACGATACTACAATATAACCGGTATGCAGGCACTCATATCATCCTTGGTCTCCAATCACTGGCAGGCCAGATCATGTCACGCCCCACGAATTTTCTGTGCGATTCACTTCATTAATATAATGGCGTGACAGTCCATCCATGCATGTAAATTCGTATGTATCACAATCAGTCTTTATTTCTGTTTTATATGTTGACAACACACAATTTACAATCAATAAAACTACGTTGTAATGTTAGAGAAAAAACAGTTTTATCAATTGAGTATCAATATACTGATATGGTATATCGATATGGAGTTTAACGGATATATCGCAGGAGAACCATAATTTTTGTTGTACTTCTTCTAAAGTTCCCTACAGTCCGTACCAGAGAAGCACAATCAAGTTTGATGCGATCCACGGACTTTATGTGATAAAACATATAACATCATACAATATTCACTAACCACTTGCTGTATAAGCTAATGCTTCAATGTGCTTTTAGAGGTTGCAGTTGCCATCCAACATGTATAGACGATCATTCATACATATTCATGTAACCATGGTATTTCGAACTGGACCCTCATGACGTCGCTGTGTGACGTCACAGTGTGACGTCGCGCTAATCAAAGCCTTTTTTTTCATTCTGTCTCGACTATACAGTTTCTTACATAAAAACAATATCTTGCTCATGGATCTCTATCTATCTCTTATCAAAATTAATACAAATAAAGATAACATACCAATGTTAATTAAGATATCAAACAACATAAACACCTAGTTCTGTGTTAGATTCACAGTTTTTAATAGTTTTATCACGTGACTGTATTGATGCTCACTAATGTATCCTGTTGCCCTGTTCCAGCCCAACCTGGCGGCGGGTCCCACTGGCAAGGAGGCAAGTCTATACAACCACAGCTGTAAAACCTATATGAGTATAGCTGTTATATGATTGCTAAAATGGGGATGAAATTCGGGCCCTGAAAACTTCCATACCAATATCTGCACATGAATATATTTTTCTAAAAATAATTTTTAGCATCAAAATTCGAAACGTTAGCTGGAATATTGCTGAGTGCGGCTTAAAACTAAACTCACTCACTCGATTATCGCTGAAACATGGCATGATGTGCATCACGAATCTAGAAAGTACTCAGGTAAATGACCGCTAGCTCTTTCCTCCTTACATGACCAGTTTACTGAGAGTTTATCGCGGGTAGTTAGTCTCACATCCCCATTCAGGGTGTATTGAGTGGACAGCGATGGAATGTGAAAACGCCTCTAAAATGCATGATGTTTATATCCCGTACAGATAACATTCGTACAAGCACAAGCGGCATAGCCGTAAAATATATAAACGTCCATCTTTAAAACTGACAGTTTGTGTCTTGAGTGTGAATAATGATAACAGGTTTATCTTAGTGGAACAAGGAATGAATAGTTCAGAACAGGCAACACGTACACAATGTTTGTGACTTGTAAGTAATAATTCAAAACACAATTTTCAAAATATTGACGTTCTCTTCTTATGAAATGAGTCTCCAAACACAAGGTGTGTACTTTTTTCAGTACGTCAGTATACAATGGATTATTCTGTGATACTGAGTCTGAGTTTGGTTTTACGCCGCTTTTAGCAATATTACAGCAACATCACAGCGGGGGACACCAGAAATGGGCTTCACATTATTCTATGATATGTTTTGTAACTTCCGTCTCACATATTGAGATCTCCTTGTTGTTTACGTCACACTGTGGTCCGGGCTTGTGTCTGTATAGGAGAACACACACCCAAATATTTATCAGGTAGCGGCAGACATTCATTTAAGTACGTTCCATGTCAAAATTCAAATGTTTCGGTGAGTATAAAGTGCTCATACTTGTCAATGTGTATGATTGTAAATGTTAATTATGGCATTCTTCCACCTTAGGTTATCCCGATATACCCAATAACTTCTTCGCACCACCGTCATCCAATCAGGGCGGCCGGAATTCGGCGCCCCCTGCTGGCGCTGTGAGGGACTACCCTAATACCTACCCCAATCAACCACAGCCACAACCGCAACCACAGCCACAACCACAGCAGCGACCACAGCCTCGACCACAACAACCACCACAGCAAGTCCGGCCTAAACCTCAACCCCAACCTCAGCCCAAACCGCAGCCTGCACAGAGACCACAGGTCCCCCGGCCTTATCAACCACCCCAACAACCATACCAGTCACAACCGCCTAACAACACCTTTGGTTATAATTCTTACAACATGGCCCCTGCTGCACCCATGCCCCGCCCCCCCCTCCTGGCCCCGCCTTCGTTGCCTGGCAGAAGACACAGCCGTGTGTGATGAACCCAACCATCCCCGACCTGTGTCGGTATAATGGAGGTAAGTTTTCCTGTCCTGTTCAGAAGTTTATATCACGTTATAAATCATATTCTGCCTACTTATTTGTCTGCCGTGGGTGATATTCAGCAATGTCTCTCCTCTAAGTGTTCATGGAGCTTACATTGGCCACGCCTATCCTAGCCTATTATTGGCCGCAGCACCCCAAAGCTTACCTCGCTGACCTCTGCTCAAGCCGAGCATTGGAATGGTTCCGTTGCTCACTATTCGCACACCTCTCGGTGGACTAGGCGCCATATAGCTGGAATATTGCTGAGTGCGGCGTAAAACTAAACTCACTCACTCACTCGGTTGACTGATTGGTGCTGAGCTTAGGACAGAAGGAATTGTGTACATGTGAACTATTTCCTCGTGGACATTAGCGGAATACCCACGCCGGTGGAGCTGATCGTTCAGTGACTAGTCAGTAGCATCAGCAACGATCTGAGACTTTGGCAAAATGACACAATTGAGGAAAGTGTCCTTAGCAAGGGTTTAACAGCAAGATCCATCTAGTACAACACTGTTGAAGGATAGTCTGTCCAGTGTCACCTTCTAGGCAGACGTGGGCAGCGCTGTTTAAGGCTGGCAGGGGAAGAACGTGAAGGCGTCATCTGTCCTGGAAGGCCTGTGACGTCAGCAATACCGGAAATAATACAGAGAATCCATGATACAGCAATTACCTTCTCCAGCTATGTAGGTATTTTCCAGCAGAGAATGCAGTCCATAATCTCAGACACTGTCGCAATGAGGGTATCTCACTGGTTTGCAAATCCTCTAACAACTTAACCGCACCAGCCACAATCTACGTCGTGGCAGTCTGGCTAGGACTGAAGCTGGTCCAGAAAGGTTCTTGCACGATTTCTGATACATGAAGCATGCGTTCACACCTAAACACCAACCAAAACATTGAAAGCTTCAACACAAAGGCATGTTTCATCAGCCGGAAAGGGTATGGACTCCGTGGTCTTAGATCCTCATTATATGGTTGCATTATCAAATCAAATGGTACAAACAAATGCTGCACTTGTGAGGCATTAAATGACGACCGAGAAACTTGGGAAGCCGAGATAACGTGTGCTCGTCCGTCGAGTAAACACGTCACTGCCATGGCTACAATCCACAAGTTTGACTTTGAACTCCATCAGCGTCAACCTTACTCTCCTGATCTGGTTAAGTCAGACTTGCTTCTTTTACATGACTTTGGGGTGTGTGTGTGTGTGTGTGCGTGTGCGTGCGCGTGTGCGCGCTCGCGTGCGTGCGTGCTCTGCGTGCGCGTCTCACTCTCGTCTCTCTCTCTCTCTCTCTCTCTCTCTCTCTGTGTGTGTTTAAAGCGTTCCCTCGTCACGCCGAAGACCCTGGTTTCGATTCCCACATGGGTAAATATGTGAAGCCCATTTCTGGTGTCCTCCGCCGCGATATTGCTGGAATATTGCTAAAAGCGGCGTAAAACCATACTCATTCACTCACATGACTTCTTCTTAACGAGGATGAAATCCCTCTAAAATCGCTGGTACAACTGAATATGTGTAGAACAAGCGTGACAAGTGACAAGTCTGTCTGCATCTAAAGCCCCATGGTCCACAGGGATGCATGTACTGTAATACCTGCTCAACGTGCGCTGCTGTTGTATCGTTCTACCTGAGAGTTTATCTTGGAGGTGTAGAACATACAGCATTTGAAGTCCAGTGTTTCAATGAACATCTCAGAACATACCAATCACCCCTCGGACTTGGCCATGTTCATCATTTCTTTACCATAGTTCTCATGTTATTTTATGTGTATCAATGTAGGCCATTCCATACTGTGCATTAACGCGTGCTAGTACACGCCAGGGTTGACGATTGGGCTCACCTTGTTTCTGTTCTGTGTTCCAGATGGACTACACGTGTACAGGTTGTTCGGTAAGGTGAACTCCAGGGAAGTGTACAGCATATCATACTGAACCGTAATACATCGTACAGTACATACAGACGTGTATACTACAGCAAGTATACAACAGCACAGTACAGTATAGTACAACATATATAGTATAGTACAACATGTATAGTACAACATATATAGTTCAACACAGAACAGGCCCACTTACCAAAAGCGGTCTTAGTACTACATTGTTTGTTTGTTTGTTTGTTGTGTAACGCAACACTCCACATAATGCCAGCTATATGGACCAGACAGTCCAGTGATCAACATCATGAGCATCGATCTAACCAATCGGGTATAGGTTGACCGTTGAGACTTAAAAAGGCCTAGCACTAAGACCGCTTTGTGAAAGAGGGGCCAGGATAATACACTATAGTACAACATATTATGGCGCAGACCAGCAGAGGTCAACAACGTTTAGCGTAGTACAACACAGTTCACGTGTATTAAATACATAACTGACTTGTCTATCCAGCGTCAAGTCGGTGTGCTAAGTTGCGTCCCTTAAGACTGTTTTCATTTATCACTCACTCACTCACTCACTCACTCACTCACTCACTCACTCACTCACTCACTCACTCACTCACTCACTCACTCACTCACTCACTCACTCACTCACTCACTCACTCACTCACTCACTCACTCACTCACTCACTCACTCACTCACTCACCCACTCACTCACTCCTCACTCCTATATTCTGTGTATTTTCAGATGTCATTGAAATTACGAAGACACTGCCCCGGGTCCCCAGTGAGTATATCAGTTCACCCTCCACACGCCTTCCATACCGAATGGATTAGAACTTCCCATCTTCGCGCCGTTTGACTTCCACGAGAAGCATTGTGTTTGACATAACTGTACGAGGAGACTGTACAATCTGTACTGAATCATGCAGAACGAAGTTTAACATGACATTGTTTATTCCCAGGCTGCTACGCGGGCAGCCCGAGGGCCGACTGTACCCAAACTCTTCAAGCCATGCACCTATGGAACAGAGATTTCTGCCGATGTAAAAACAATCCAACAGCGGAATGCATGTAAGTATTTAATAGTTGTCACCAAGGGCGTGTACGAGATAAATGTACACAGTGGATGATGAATGTATTAATGATAATGAGACTATTTATAACGCTCCTTTTCCTGGCAAGATATCCTGCTCAAAGCACACAATCTGATGATTATTACACTGGATAACCCAAGCTGCCTGTGACTTATTTCACCGGGTACCCATTTTCTGCTGGGTAAACAGAGGCAATTTTGAACAAACTCACTTGCCTAAGGTGAGACCACATGTATCACGTGTGCTTCGTTGTGGGGTAGGACTGAAGTCCGAGAAACTCTCAGGAGTCAGGCTGTCACACACGGTTACCCATCCAAGGAGTCTCCGCACCCAGCGTTGCTAAACTTCAACTGGTTTGTGATCTGAGCTCTATCTCAGGACCACACACCCTAGTTTCAATGCTGAGGTGAATGTAATGACTGCTGTTACTTATACCTACACACTGGTACATATGTTTGAATAAAACATTTACACGGTCAGCGAACAAACATTCTCAAACAAAACAACGACAGTGTGATACTGACATCACCTGTAATGAAGACGATTATTTGTTTCAGCCTCAACGACTGCGGCGGGGTCTGCAGCAACGAGTTCTACATCGGTACCACGCGGGTTCTCTGTGAATAATATCGGTAAGCATCGTATAGTCCCATCAATGTTGAAACCCAATGAGGATTCTAGATCTGGGTAGGAGTGAGTGAGTATAGTGTTACTCCGATTTGTAGCAATATTTCTGCAATAGCTCTTTGTTGGGACTGATCCGGAGGACAGTCTGCTTGTATAAAGATGTATTCTAATGAAGGTGGTGGTCAGGCTCGATGACGTAGCTGATGACGTAGTTGATGACGTATCAACACGTCCAGGTCGTTGACAACATCCGTCAATTGATTGTCTGGTCCTGACACGATTATTTACAGCTTCAACAGACAGCCAACCAACCAACCAAACGAAAAACCATTCATAAAGCATAATATGACGTCAGATATATTCATGATATTTAATTGCTCGCAACCGAAAAGAAAAACCTCAATATTGATGTGACACTTTTTCAGGTAACGATGAGAAACGTCTATGTTTTCTTTTGGGCTTTAGTATCAGTTTAACTTGGTAAATCTGTAAGGAATGCGTGAACAGGAACCCATGCTTGCCGTAAACGGGATCAGGTGGTCAGGCTCGCTGACTTGGTTGACACATGTCATCGTATCCCAATTGCGTAGATCAATGATCATGCTGTTGATTGTCTGGTCCAGAGTCGATTACTTACAGACTCCCGTCATATAGCTGGGGTATTTTCTTTGAGAGGCATTTAGCTCCTTCATCCTTATGCTGTTCATCACTTGCTTGATAACGGTGTTCGAACCTACACCGGAACGTCGCTCTCACAGCAATACAGAAGTTGTTCATCACTTGCTTGATAACGGTGTTAGAACCTATACCGGAACGTCGCTCTCACAGCAATACAGAAGTTGTTCATCCATATATTGTTATCCTTCCCTAGCTGGGATATTGCTGAGTGCGGCGTTAAATAACAAACAAACAAACACGAATTGATCTGTTAAAAACATGTACACATTTCCTTACACTGTAGGGGCGGTGGGGTAGCCTAGTGGTTAAAGCGTTGGCTCGTCACGCCGAAGACCCGGGTTCGAATCCCACATGGGTACAATGTGTGAAGCCCATTTCTCGGTGTCCCCCGCCGTAAAATGTTGCTGGACTATTGCTAAAAGCGGCGTAAAACCAAACTCAGTCAGTCCTTACACTGTAGGCTTTGCTGTAGTTGTGTGTAAACTGCGTTTCGATATTTTAACAAGTCCATGTTATGGCGTAATTCATATACACCTTGTTCTGTTTCAGAGGCTCAACTGTAACATCAGTGTGTGGAGTTTCCAGGCTATAGTCCGGCTTGTTACATCGACACTGACAGTGCTTCACAGCCGTGATCTGTACACCCATACACACTTCCCACAGAAGAGACATGTAGAATATATCTGCGAAGAACCGTGGATAGTTGTTCCTTCAGCATTCAGACATTGTATGAATAGCTACTAAACAATAACATGGCTATGTGTATATTCGTAACATTGTCGGATAAAAGAAGATTTTATAAATTTAATATATTTTGAGAGACAACATGTTCTTCGTCTTCTAACATGTGTTTAAGATGCAAAACCTTATAATAGGGATGCGTGCGGATAATTACATTGTATTTGTACATGTGTTCGTTACTTCTGTTTGTTGAGGCAGCAGCGACTCTGATGATCCTACTGTAGAACCAAACCCAGGAAATGTCGCATCTTACTTCACAGGCCTGGATTTCTGTCATATACTGCTCATAAGAAGTTAAAGAACTGACTGTAGTTATGGCTAGTGGGTTTGTTGGCGCTCCCTAACTCCTTTTGAGTAGTGTATATCTCATTCACAAATTTGAGTTTTGATTTCAGATTTATCTGTCTTTGTATGACCTTGATGGTTTAGTATCGAATTATAATTTCTTCTCTAAACTAGCGCTAGACATCAGAATGCATGTATGATGGTGTGGTTCCAAGCGACACGTTGCCGTTGTGCACGTCTCTGGAGGTGTTGTAGTACTGAATCTAGGCTGGTGAAAACAACGTTACACTACAACCTGGCAGGAACAATGAGTGAGTGAGTGTATATAAAGTCCTGCTTTCATTTAACGAAATGGCTGTTTAAGTCCAAATGTATTTAAAAAGAAATAAAATATTATATACAAGTATATTTATGCGTTCTGATTTATATTATTTGACTTATGTCCAGAGGCGGAATGAGTTTAATTTCTTTAATGTTATTAAACTTATTTACTGCGGAGAGACGTATTACCGAATTCAGTATGTAAGGACAGTAGTAAACGTAATATGTCCTAAACTGCAAACTAGGAAACGAAAATGATCGTATACTTTTGAATACGCAAATCTTGATTAACTATTTTGTGAAAATTGTTTTATTGCAAAATGTTATCTGCCGTCGTGTTGATGAAACGCATCAAATCTGTATCTTAATCTGTATGTGTACTTCTATCTGCGCAAATGGATGCAACAGTACAATTCTTTATTCGCCTTGTTTAGCCTACAGCTACATTCAATCGATGACGTCACATAGTGGTAACAGTGAAATGACGTAACATGGTGTCATAAGGTAACACTGACGTGACGTCATATAGTGTCATGATATAACAGAGCAACGACGTCATGTTATAACAAACTTGTCACTGATTTCCTTGGCTGAGAGCAAAACCCAACATGTTGTAAACTTTCACCTTTGCATATGTAATGGTTTTCTCATTGTTCATCTTCATGTTTGTTTTGGGGTTTCATAATTGGCTACATTTATCCCCTTCTCGTTCAAAAGCAATGAGGGGCGGTGGGGTAGCCTAATGGTTAAAGCGTTGGCTCGTCACGCCGAAGACCCGGGTTCATCCCCACATGGGCACAATGTGTGAAGCCCATTTCTGGTGTCACCCGCCGTGATGTTGCTGGAATATTGCTAAAAGCGGCGTAAAACCAAACTCAGTCAGTCAGTCAAAAGCAATGAATGTATGAACTGAAACATGACCGTGAAAGTATAAGGGAGATAAATCTTGCATGCATGTTTACAAACCAATTATGAGGTCCCTGTCTTCCACTTTCAGTGTTTGGTATAAATGCTTCAGCATATTTTCTGGCTGATGGGGTTATCAGCTGGGATGTGCCACGATGCACTGCATCCGCCAGGATATTCTGATCGTCAGTTCGAATCCCAAGTATTTGTAGTAATGTAGCGTAATTGACATTTTTCGTAATGCTCCCTTAACTACCGGATGTAAATGACAGCTCCCTATTAACGTAATGCATGATGGGAAATGGGCCATGTGCTTCCGTCGCGGTATGTACACCAATCAACATGGAATAAAACCGCTGCACTCCAAGTTTGCGTCGTGTGCTAGTGTTATTCTTGGTATGTTAGTAAACAGCTCTTCTCGCGGTACAGCCTGTTTCACCATGGGTTACCTGCATCGTTATAGAGACACACAGTTGTGTTCTCGGGATAAAGTTGAGTCACTTTCATATCCTCCTAATCTCACAATGTAACCGGTAACAGAACACGTTAAGCCCGAGTGTACCAGAATATACCTCGCCTCTCGGATGCCACTAAATATGCCAGTGTTTAAATGTGTCACGTGATGTTAGAAAGTACCAACCAAACTATACGTGTTCTCCCGTGGGCGTCACTAATATACCGCGTATTTACATTGTTCATATAAGGAGCACTACAAAACTCAATATGGCGTGTGTATGTGCGTATATTTGTCCATATGTGACAAGTGAGTGAGTGAGTTAGCAACATCCCATCATCACAGCGGGGGACACAAGTAAAAAGGCTTCATAAATTGTACCCATGTGGGAATCGAACCCGCGTCTCTGGGTGACTAGCGACCGCTTTAACCACTAGGCTAATGGTAGCAGAACATGTTGGATAATAGTAAGTCTGTCTCACAGTCCCTGAACCACATTATTTTCCTTACTGCCAAGCCCTATCTGCCGTGCTAAAGCCCTAAATAATGCAAGTCTGGTCTGAATCTCTGGTCTCCCTGGGCTCCTTTTCAATTAAAATGGGCTTGTTTGTTGCTATCAGAATTATATATATTCAGAGACTAAGCGTTAGTCTAGGGGGCGGTGGGGTAGCTTAGTGGTTAAAGTGTTTGCTCGTCACAACGAAGGCCCGGGTTCAATTCTCAATATGGGTACAACGTATGAAGCCATTTCTGGTGTTCCCCGCCCAGGTTATATGTTTTACATCAATAACACCACTTGTCATTTCGGTAGTTGGTAGTAATGACATTACAATTGGTATAACCATGACATTACTATTTGTACTACCATGCCATGATGATACTATTAGTATTACTGTGGTATAAATATTGGTTTGGTTTTGGCTGGGATTGTTGTTTAACGTCATATTCAGCAATATTCCAGCAATAAGGCAGCGGTCTTTACATAATCGAGTGTGGACCAGACAATCCAGTGATCGAGAGCTTAATCATCTGTCTACGCAATTGGGAACCGATGACATGTGTCAACCAAGTCAGTGAGCCTGACCATCAGATCCCGTTAGTCGTCTCTTACGACAAGCATGGGTTACTGAAGGTTCATTCTAACCCGGACCTTCACGGGTCAAATACTACATGTGTAACGAACTAATTGTAACATTTTGAACAATCAAACATAAGTATCAGCAACATTGTAACTAGTTTATTCACAGTTTCAGAGACGATTGACAAAACCCAGTGTTTCCTCCTGCCGGTATTGCTCCTTCTAGCCGAGTGTTCCCAGCACATTGTGTAGGTCGCCCACACTGTTACAGCTGCACACCGGACACCCGTCAGCTCCAGTAGCGAACCCGTTAAAGCAGTATAGCTCACACAGCACCATCGGGCAGTCTGAGGGGGACAGCATTGTTACCACTCACACACAGATCATGGCATTGCTAACAGATGTGTCATTTTGTTGTGTTTCTTGTTTAACGTCACAATTTTCCAACAATATGGGGGCGGTGTGTCAATAATCGGGTCTGGACCAGAAAATCCAGTGATCAATAGAATGGGTATCGATCTAGGTAACTGATATACGATGACGTGTCAACCAAGTCAGCCAGCCTGACCGCTTGATCCCGTCAGTCGCCTCTTACGACAAACATGGTTTGCTAAAGATAGGATCTTCTCGGATGCCTCGAATATGGAGAGAACGGTGCTGGAGGCATGTCAGCCTGTTAGCTTTCGCAAATGACACTCCTGAACTTCCAAAGATCTTTCCGACTCTACCCTTTCCTAAATCTCGGTGAATTTGTACAATAGTTAACATGATCGGAATGGCCTCAATATCGGAGAATTGTACAAAGGTAGACAAAGTCTGAATGGCCTTAATCTCGGGGAAATGTACAACGGTAGACATAGCCAGAATGGCCTTAATCTCAGGGAATTGTACAACAGTTGATATTGCCGGAATGACCTTACAGTCTTCCACCTACGGGAGTTATCACTACATTGAATACATACTTGGTTTGATTAAGCTTCTTCCCTTGAGGCTGACGCTCTGACAGGTATGTCCGCAGCCGTTAGACATGCAGGTAGTGCCCGCGGGACAGGAATCCTCCCGGCCATTTCCCGCAGGAGAGCACATCTCAACACAGGCCCCAAACTGTCGCTTTCCCAGGATTACAGGTTGACACGTGTGTCCACACCCGTTGGACTGGCAGACCTGACCATTCGGACAACCGCTGAGGAACCCGATGCCGGCCATTGAACACTCCTCAACACAGATCCCAAACTGTCGCTTACCCAGGATTACAGGTTGACACGTGTGTCCACACCCGTTGGACTGGCAGACCTGACCATGCGGACAACCGCTGAGGAACCCAATGCCGACCACGGAACACTCCTCCACACAGATCCCCAACTGGCGCTTGAAAGGGACGCCTTGCACCGCCGCTGAAAACATTATTGTTTGTTTGTTGTTTAACGCAGCATTGCAGCTGTATGTCTGTAAGTAATTGCGTCTGGAGCAGAATACCAGTGATCAAGAGCATGATCATTGATCAACGCAATTGGTATACGCTGTCATGTGTCAACCAAGTCAGCGAGCTTGACAAGCGACTATCATTGGTTGAAGAAGACCAATTCTAACTCGAATCTTTATGAGTTGTAAACAAAAAGTCTTCTGTCAGATTTGGAGCGGTTTGGTTGCCTTGTGGTTCAAGTGTTCGCTCGTCGGGAGATGATGTACCCTTTCTTGTGTCCCCCACCGTACCGTCTTGAAGTATTGCTACAAGCTGCGTAAACCTAAATTCCCTTTCGCTTTCAAATTTTGAGCTTGAATTTTGCATGGACATTTTGTTTGAACGGTATTTCAGGTGAAATCTCTTTAAGATAGGACACAAGCCCTTTGCGACAGAAGAATGCTCTGACCAGCCTCTGGTCCTGTGTGACTAGCGTCTGGTCCTCTCTGATTAACGTATGGTCCTCTCTGAGTAGCGTCTGGTCCTATTTGACTAGCGTCTGGTCCTCTCTGACTAGCGTCTGGTCCTCTCTGAGTAGCGTCTGGTCCTATGTGATTAACGACACTTGTTGCTTCACGTGACTTAAGATAGAGTAACCAGATAGCCATGAAATTGAGATCGTAATGGAAACTAACAGGGATCAGAGAAACTGGCCCTGTGTGACTAGCGTCTGGTCCTATGTCACTAACGTCTGGTTCTCTCTGACTAGCGTCTGGTCCTCTCTGACCAGCGTCTGGTCCTCTCTGACTAGCGTCTGGTTCTATGTAACTGGCGTCTGGTCCTCTTTGACTAGCGTTTGGTCCCATGTGACTAGCGTCTGGTCCCATGTGACTAGTGTCTGGTCGTCTCTGACTAGCGTCTGGTCCTCTCTGACTAGGGTAATGTCCTCTCTGACTAGCGTCATATCCTCTCTGACTAGTCCTCTCTGACTAGCGTCTGGTCCTCTCTGACTAGCGTTTGGTCCCATGTGACTAGTGTCTGGTCGTCTCTGACTAGCGTCATGTCCTCTCTGACTAGCGTCATATCCTCTCTGACTAGTCCTCTCTGACTAATGTCTGGTCCTCTCTGACTAGCGTCTGGTGTTCTCTGACTAGGGTAATGCCCTCTCTGACTAGCGTCATGTCCTCTCTGACTAGCGTCATATCCTCTCTGACTAGTCCTCTCTGACTAACGTCTGGTCCTCTCTGACTAGCGTCATATCCTCTCTGACTAGTCCTCTCTGACTAACGTCTGGTCCTCTCTGACTAGCGTCATGTTAACCAAGAAATGGAGATCTGAGTAAAGGAAACTAACAGGGATCAGAGAAACTGAAACTAACAGGGATCAGAGAAACTGGAACTGACGGGGATCAGAGAAACTGGACCTGACAGGGATCAGAGAAACTGGAACTGACGGGGATCAGAGAAACTGGAACTAACAGGGATCAGAGAAACTGGAACTAACAGGGATCAGAGAAAGTGGACCTAACAGGGATCAGAAAAACTGGACCTAACAGGGATCAGAGAAACTGGAACTAACAGGGATCAGAGAACTGGACCTGACGGGAATCAGAAAAAACCTGAATCTAATACATACCAGCACTAGCGTCATATCCTCTCTGACTAGTCCTCTCTGACTAGCGTATGGTCCACTCTCACTAGCGTTTGGTCCCATGTGACTAGTCTTTGGTCGTCTCTGACTAGCGTCTGGTCCTCTCTGACTAGCGTCATATCCTCTCTGACTAGTCCTCTCTGACTAACGTCAGGTCCTCTCTGGCTAACGTCTGGACCTCTCTGACTAGCGTCATGCTAACTAAGAAATAGAGATCGTAAAGGAAACTAACAGGGATCAGAGAAACTGGAACTAACAAGGATCAGAGAAACTGGAACTAGCAGGGATCAGAGAAACTGGAACTGACAGGGATCAGAGAAACTGGAACTAACAGGGATCAGAGAAACTGGACCTGACAGGGATCAGAGCAACTGAAACTAACAGAGATCAGAGAAACTGGACCTGACAGGGATCAGAGAAACTGGACCTGACAGGGATCAGAGAAACTGGAACTAACAGGGATCAGATAAACTAGAACTAGCAGGGATCAGAGAAACTGGAACTAACAGGGATCAGAGAAACTGGACCTGACAGGGATCAGAGAAACTGGAACTAACAGGGATCAGAGAAACTGAACCTGACAGGGATCAGAGAAACTGATACTAACAGGGATCAGAGAAACTGGTCCTGACAGGGATCAGAGAAACTGGACCTGACAGGGATCAGAGAAACTGGAACTAACAGGGATCAGAGAAACTGGAACTAACAGGGATCAGAGAAACTGGAACTAACAGGGATCTGAGAAACTGGAACTGACAGGGATTAGAGAAACTGGAACTAACAGGGATCAGAGAAACTGGAACTGACAGGGATCAGAGAAACTGGAACTAACAGGGATCTGAGAAACTGGAACTAACAGGGATCAGAGAAACTGGACCTGACAGGGATCAGAGAAACTGGAACTAACAGGGATCAGAGAAACTGGAACTGACAGGGATCAGAGAAACTGGAACTGACGTGGATCAGAGAAACTGGAACTAACAGGGATCAGAGAAACTGGATCCCTGTTAGTGATAAGAGAAACTGGAACTGACGGGGATCAGAGCAGCTGGAACTAACAGGGTTCAGAGAAACTGGAAGTAACGGGGATCAGAGAAACTGGAACTGACGGGGATCAGAGAAACTGGAACTGACAGGGATCAGAGAAACTGGAACCAACAGGGATCAGAGAAACTGGAACTAACAGGGATCAGAGAAACTGGAACTAACAGGGATCAGGGAAACTGGAACTAACAGGGATCAGAGAAAAAGGAACCAACAGGGATTAGAGAAACTGGAACTAACAGGGATCAGAGAAACTGGAACTAACAGGGATCAGAGAAAAAGGAACCAACAGGGATTAGAGAAACTGGAACTAACAGGGATCAGAGAAACTGGACCTGACAGGGATCAGAGAAACTGGAACTAACAGGGATCAGAGAAACTGGAATTAACAGGGATCAGAGAAACTGGACCTGACAGGGATCAGAGAAACTGGAACCAACAGGGATCAGAGAAACTGGAACTAACAGGGATCAGAGAAACTGGAACTGACGGGGATCAGAGAAACTGGAACCAACAGGGATCAGAGAAACTGGAACTAACAGGGATCAGAGAAACTGGAACTAACAGGGATCAGAGAAAATGGAACTAACAGGGATCAGAGAAACTGGAACTGACGTGGATCAGAGAAACTGGAACTAACAGGGATCTGAGAAACTGGACCGGACAGGGATCAGAGAAACTGGAAATAACAGGGATCAGAGAAACTGAAACTAACAGGGATCAGAGAAACTGGAACTAACAGGGATCAGAGAAACTGGAACTGACAGGGATCAGAGACACTGGAACTAACAGGGATCAGAGAAACTGGACCTGACAGGGATCAGGGAAACTGGACCGGACAGGGATCAGAGAAACTGGAAATAACAGGGATCAGAGAAACTGAAACTAACGGGGATCAGAGAAACTGGAACTGACAGGCATCAGAGAAACTGGAACTAACAGGGATCAGAGAAACTGGAACTAACAGGGATCAGAGAAATTGGAACTGACGCGGATCGAAGAAACTGGAACTAACAGGGATCAGAGAAACTGGAACTAACAGGGATCAGAAAAACTGGAACTGACGGGGATCAGAGAAACTGGAACTTACAGGGATCAGAGAAACTGAAACTAACAGGGATCAGAGAAACTTGAACTGTCAGCGATCAGAGAAACTGGAACTAACAGGGATCAGAGAAACTGGAACTAACAGGGATTAGAGAAACTGGAACTAACAGGGATCAGAGAAACTGGACCTGACAAGGATCAGAGAAACTGGAACTAACAGGGATCAGAGAAACTGGAATTAACAGGGATCAGAGAAACTGGACCTGACAGCGATCAGAGAAACTGGAACCAACAGGGATCAGAGAAACTGGAACTAACAGGGATCAGAGAAACTGGAACTGACGGGGATCAGGGAAACTGGAACCAACAGGGATCAGAGAAACTGGAACTAACAGGGATCAGAGAAACTGGAACTAACAGGGATCAGAGAAACTGGAACTAACAGGGATCAGAGAAACTGGAACTGACGTGGATCAGAGAAACTGGAACTAACAGGGATCAGAGAATCTGGAACTAGCAGGGATCTGAGAAACTGGAACTGACGGGGATCAGAGAAACTGGAACTGACGGGGATCAGAGAATCTGGAACTAACAGGGATCAGAGAAACTGGATCCCTGTTAGTGATCAGAGAAACTGGAACTGACGGGGATCTAAGAAACTGGAACTAACAGGGATCAGAGAAACTGGAACTAACAGGGATCAGAGAAACTGGACCTGACAAGGATCAGAGAAACTGGAACTAACAGGGATCTGAGAAATTGGAACTGACGCGGATCAAAGAAACTGGAACTAACAGGGATCAGAGAAACTGGAACTAACAGGGATCAGAGAAACTGGAACTGACAGGGATCAGAGAAACTGAATCCCTGTTAGTGATCAGAGAAACTGGACCAGACGGGGATCAAAGAAACTGGAACTAACAGGGATCAGAGAAACTGGAACTAACAGGGATCAGAGACACTGGAACTAACAGGGATCAGAGAAACAGGACCTAACAGGGATCAGAGAAACTGGAACTGACAGGGATCAGAGAAAGTGGAACTAACAGGGATCAGAGAAACTGGATCCCTGTTAGTGATAAGAGAAACTGGAACTGACGGGGATCAGAGCAACTGGAACTAACAGGGTTCAGAGAAACTGGAAGTAACGGGGATCAGAGAAACTGGAACTGACGGGGATCAGAGAAACTGGAACTGACAGGGATCAGAGAAACTGGAACCAACAGGGATCAGAGAAACTGGAACTAACAG